TGTTTGTTAAACTGATACACTTCCAATTAAAGGTTGAACTGTACATCCTATATAGCTTTCTAGTTGCCATATTAACTGTTAGAATTACCTGGTTAAGTGTACTAGGAATATTTATGCTGGTAAAGTCATGTCTGCAGATTTGTGAACCTTGGATATGAAAATCCTTTCTCTGGATGTTGAACTAGAATATAGGTCTTCTGTAGGACCACAAGGGCATATTTTTTTCAAAATACTTTCTTGTGTCTCAATAAAGAGACACAAATGTCTCTTTATTGTTATGAATGTATCATGAATTGCTGACCTAGTATAAAATCAAATTGAAGTAAAGTTGCATCGATTTCTTAATTAAATATTTCAGAAATGCACTCCTTTAAAATGCCAGAGTGTTATCACTAAGCCATTAATTATGTTACAGAAACTAAGTAAAACTGCAGTTAATTATGCCATAGAAATGGTATTTGTGCAATCAGATCTGGTGTTAAGAAATGAAATTATTTTTAATGTGTGGTGAAGTTTTTAATTCAACTCTCAGAGCAATATGTCACGGATAAAACAGCAGGTTCAGCCATGTTGTTGCAAATGAAGTTTTTAATTCCTCTCTCAGTGTAAAATGCTGCTACATTTACCAGCACACCAGAGCACTGCATAAGTCACATTGCAAAGCAGAGCATGTTAAAGATGAATTGAATGATTTAGGACTATAGGTGTAATGGGAGTTCAGAAAAGGGAGTGATAAATGATAGTCTTCTATCATTTTATGCAAGATAAACATTTTTATCTTTCTAAATGAGGAGAAAATATGTGTCTTTCATGAAGACTAAAACTTTCAAGGAAATGTAAGGTAGTTATCTTAGAGATGTGATATTCATTTCCATAAAATTTCTAATTCTGTTAGTCCATTCTTTAAATTAAAAACCTTGGACAGCATAGGAAATATAGTCAATAATATTGTAATAGCATTGTATGGCGAAAGATCATAACTACATCTATTATGGTATAATAATAGCAAGTTATAATATTTGTAATGTATATATATATAAATGTCAAATCAATATGTGTATACTTGAAACTAATATAATATTGTATATCAACTATAGTTCAATAAAAGAAGAGAATATGAAAAAAAAGTAAAGTCATAGAAGTAAAAAAAATTTGGAATTTAAATTCTAGCTATGTGGAGAGGTTATGTTTGTTTCCCATTTCTTTATGGATTTCATTAAAAAACTCAGGACCTAACTGGCACAAGAACAGACTTGTAGATCAGTGGAACAGAATACAGAACCCAGATATAAACCCACTCATATATGGTCAATTAATTTATGATAAAGGAGCCATGAATATACAGTGGGGAAAAGACAGCCTCTTCAACAACTGATGCTGGGAAAACTAGTCAACTACATGTAAGAGAATGAAACTGGAATACTATCTAATTCCATATACAAAAGTGAACCTGAAATGGATCAAAGACCTGCATGTAAGTCATGAAACCATAAAACTCTTAGAAGAAAACAGGCAAAATTCTCTTCAGTATAAGCAGGAGCAACTTTTTCATGAACATATCCTTGGGCAAGGGAAATAAAAACAAAAATGAACAAATGGGACTACATCAAACTAAAAACTTCTGTACAGCAAAGGACACCATAAGCAGGACAAAAAGGCATCCTATAGTTGGAAGAATATGTTTGTAAGTGACTTATCAGATAAGGGGTTAATATCCAATATATATAAAAAGCTCACATGCCTCAGCACCCAAAAAACAAAGAACCTGATTAAAAAATGGTCAGAGGACCTGAACAGACACAACTGCAAAGAAGAAATTCAAATGGCCAACAGGCACATGAAAAGATGCACTACATCACTAATCATCAGGGAAATGCAAATTAAAACCACAATGAGATATCACCTCACTCCAGTTAGGATGGCCAACATCCAAAAAACAAGAAACAACAAATGTTGGTGAGGATGCGGAGAAAGGGGTACCGTCCTACAATGTTGGTGGGAACGTAAGTTAGTTCAACCACTGTGGAAAGCAATATGGAGGTACCTCAAAAAACTAAAAATTGAAACACCATTTGACCCAGGAATTCTACTCCTAGGAATTTACCCAAAGAATACAAGATCCCTGGTTCAAAAAGACATATGCACCCCTATGTTTATAGCAGCTCTGTTTACAATAGCCAAGATATGGAAGCAACCTAAATGTCTATCAGTAGATGAATGGATAAAGAAGAGGTGGTACATATACACAATGGAATATTATTCATCCATAAGAAGAAAACAAACCCTACCATTTGCAACAACATGGGTGGAGCTAGAGGGTATAATGCTCAATGAAATAAGCCAGGTGGAGAAGGACAAATACCAAGTGATCTCCCTCATTTGTGGAGAATAAAAACAAAGCAAAACTGAAGGAACGAAACAGCAGCAGACTCACAAACTCCAAGAAAGGACTAGCAGCTACCAAAAGGAACGAGATGGGGAGGGTGGGTGCAGAGGGAGGGATAAGGGGATTTGGGGCACTATAACTAACAATCACAATGTAGGTAGGTCACAGGGAAGGCAGTACAGCATGGAGAAGACAAGTAATGACTCTGTAGAATCTTACTACGCTGATAGACAGTGACCACAATGGGGGGTGAGGACTTGGTAATATGGATGATTGTTAAAACCACAATGTTGTTTATGTGAAACCTTCGTAAGACTGTATATCACTGATGCTTTAATAATAAAATAAAAGAATCAGTGAGTTGAAATGAGATTGAGTTTCTTTGTCCATGTGGTTTGGTGTCTGACAATTGGGGGAAATTTTCAATCATTGCTTCAAATATTTCTTCTCTTCCTTTTCTGTTTCTTATTCTGGTATTCCCATTATGCATATGATACACCTTTTGTAGTTGTCCCAGTGTTCTTAGATATTCTGTTTCATTTTTTCAGTCCTTTTTCTCTGTTTTTCCATTTTTGAAGTGTCTAATGATATATCCTCCTCAAGCTCAGGGATAATTTCCTCAGCCACTTTTGAAAAATGCTTTTCTTCATTTCTGTTAGTGTTTTTGATCTCTGGCATTTATTTTTGATTATTGAAATTTCTATCTCTACGTTTACATTACCATCTGGTTTTGCATGCTGCCTAATTTACCCATTACAGCCTTTGGCATATTCATCATAGTTATTTTACATTCCTGATCTGATAATTCTAACATCTCTATTAAATCTGAGTCTGGTTCTGATGTTTCATCTCTCTCTTCAAACTGTGTTTTTGCCTTTTAGTATGCCTTGTAATTTTTTCTTGAGAGTAGGTCATGATGTCTTGTGTAAAAGGAACTGCTATAACAAGGCCTTTAGTGATGAGGTCATCAGGTGGGTGCGGAGGGAGAGAAGCAGTCTATAGTCCTATGATTAGGTCTCTTGTCTTTTAGTAGGCCTGTGCCTCTGGACTGTGAACTTCACAATTGCTTCTCTGTCCCCTTCCTCTTAGGTGGGACAGGATGGCTAGAGATGGCTGGAGTTGGGTACTTCCCTTCCCTGTGTTGGTTAGTCTCTGATAAAACCCTAATAGTTTAGCTCTGGTAAGATAGCTTCTCTTGAGAGCAGCCTTTGTTAAGAACAGAATGTTCTGGTGTATTTCAAAATGATTCATTTCCCCCTTCCTCTGCCAGAAGTAAGAGGGGATTTTTGTTCAGTATTCACTATGAGAAACTCCTAGAGGTAAAACTAAAAAAAAATGTGGGGATCCCCTGTGACTGGGTCCCTCAAGTTTTTAGCTCTCAGAATTGTCTATGCTGAGCCCTCAACAATTTGTCAGTTACACGTTAGATTTGCTACCACAGTGATGGTTTCCCCAGAGGTTTCTGCTTGTAGATTTGTGCTCTGGCAGGTTGTGATTCTCAGTATTTGCCTGTCTGTCTCTCTAAATTTGGGGGAGCAGTTTGAACTGTAACCTTACTTCTTTAATGAATTTAAGAAGAGTTGTTGATTTTTTAGTTTGTTTAGTGTTTTTACTTGTTGTTAGGGTTGAGTGATAATTGCCAAACTCCTTCCATGCCAGACTGGAAACCAGAAGTCTTAACACATTTTTAAAAAGACAGCTTTATTGAAGTATAAATTTATATAACATAAAACTCATGCATTTGTAAGTGTACAATTCAATTATTTTTTATAAATTTATAGAGTTGCAAAATAATCACCACAGTAAGTTTTAGAACACTTTCTATACTCCATAAAGTTCCCTTGTGCCCACTTAGGATCTGTGACCCCCTCACCAAAACACAGCTTCCACTGATCTCCTTTCTATCTCTATCAATTCCCCCTTTCTGGACATTGCAAATAAATGAAATCATTCAACAAGAAGTTTTTTGTGTCCGGCTTCTGTCAAGTTGCATAATATTTTTGAGGTTTATCTGTGTTGTAGCATATATCTCAATGCATTTTTAAAACTAAAAATTAAAATACAACAGCTGTTTTATAGTTACTATACATTAATATACATACTGTATATTAATATAATTAATACATGCTTACTATATATTAATAGATATTTATAAATATTTAGCCAAGTAGAAAATAAGACTATACAATATCCAAATTCTCCTGTCTATAAAAAGTTAATTTGTATATTTATTACACATGGTACTTGATTGTGCTATAGATACTCACAGGCTAGCCAATTGACTTGTAAGAATGACTTTGAAAGTATAAAGTTTTACTTTAAAAGACCAAATTTTGAAAATATATTGATACACCTATATTGACTTATTATCCAGTAGAATATAGCTGTAAAGAACAAATTAGCATGTCCCCTTGAGGGCACATCATGTGCAGATTCACATGAGTAACTTCAATTTCCTCCTGAAAAATCGAATTAATCTTGTCAAACAAGTGGAATAATTAACATCTGATTTTTCTCAAAGTCAGTCTGAAGGCCCCAAAGCTGCCATGGGCTTATCAGTTGTGAAAAGTCTGGAAGCCACAGGATGTTCATGTATATAAACTGTTGTACTTACAGAGAGTCCTCCAGTCTCTTCAAGGATTCCAAAACTAATGAATGAACACTGTCTAAGGAACAGGATCCAAAGCAATTTAGAGATGAAATGTATTTGATTTTCATAACCCAGTCATTGTGTAACTTCCTTTTAACGCTGAAAATTAAAAGAAACCAAGGGGATTATGTTAGACACAAAAACACATCACATTGAATTTCTATTGAGCATTTCATTTTGACTTTACTCAAATCGCAGCTCTGAACTGTGGCTAAGCCTGCCTGTGTACTACTAGCCTGTGGATTATACCACTTTTAACTGCTTGTTTATTTATTTTCATTTTTCTATTATCAAATGTACATCACAGTGGTTCAACAGCCCCCCTTCCTCTACCCCCACCCCCACCCATAAACCTTCCTCTTGGTAACCACCAGCCACTTCTCAGTGTCTGTGAGTCTAATGTTGTTTTGACACTTCTGTTTTAACTGTTCAGCATATTTTAAATGGAAAATTAAAGGTTTATCATCAAATTTGAGCTATAGATTCAGAATTAAAGGAATAATCTAGATGAATCCTCATCCAATATTGCACTATGATCCTCACTTTACTGAAAAAATTCTTATCATCCAAATGGAGTACTATGTTTCATATTGTTTTATATTTTATATGAGTTCATTCATTTTCATGTTTTCTATGAATATTTTCAAAACTGAAGGACTGAGAACTTATAGGCCCAGATCACTGGTGAAGCTGAGGCTAGGGCCGCTGTTCCTTGTTGAAGGCTTGCCCATGAGTTCACAGGACATTTTAGTGACAGGCTTAGTGTTAGGGGCCAACTCCTGTAAAATTTTAACCTAAAAGAAGTCATCTTCACAGTGCTATATTAACTTACATTTTAAAGTGTATTTGTTTCCTCATTCACAAACATTTATTGAGTACATATTGTCACCCACTTACAGAGGACATATACATATTTAAGGTAGAATTCTTGTCCCCAAGTTCCTTAGATTCTAGCTGAGGAATAGACATGTTTATAACCAAAGGCAGGCAAGTTGCACAGTATTGGATTAAACGGAGTGGAGAGGGAGATACTTTTCCATGCCAAATTGTGTTTTTTGGAACTCTGGGTGCTGGATGCTTCTTCCTTTAATTTGTACCATGTTTTGCATACCAGTGTTAGTTGCACACCCCACCCCCACCCATTCAGTTTGAATAAATTATGTGGCTATCAACTGCAGGAAAACTTTAATGACTCCAAAATTTAATTATCCCTTCGGTCTTAATACTTTTCATTGTGTTGGGTTTGAGGTTCTCTTGGTGTAAGAAATACCTCAAGACTCAGCCTTATATATGCACTTTGGCCTTGAGTAATTCAAATCATGTGGAGGACAATCATCTACATGCTCATTTACATGTAAATAATTCTCAAAAGAACCAATGTAAATTAGCACTCATTTAACTCTGCCCAGATTTCTCAAATTCCTGAGGTCTGCTGGTATTATTTCCAACATATCTAATGGAAACAAAGATGGAAAAACAGGCCATGGGATATTCTGAGAGGTGACTATAGTCTGGGGAAAGGAAATCCCAGGGCAAAATACCTCTAAAAACCGAAATCAGTCAAAGGGAGAAATAAAGTTTAAAATCCATTTATTGCTTACAAACTGCAGTCTCGGCTGTTTCTATCTTTCCTGCTCCAGCAGAAGCAAAACGGGTACTCCCCCCACCTCTCAGGTACAGATAAACCCTTGGTTGCCAGGTAATTACCCATTGATATGGAGATGAACTTCTCTCCACCCCTGAGGAATGATGCAAATACACTAAAGCCATAGTTCTTTCCACCTCTGAATGCCTATTAATATGCAGATGTACTAAAGCCAGGCAAGATATTCTGGAAATATTACAATTTTACCTACAGTGACATATACAGTAAAGAGAAAATTCATGTCTCAGCCTATATTCTAAGAGCCTATCATAATTGGAATGAAATACTTGACAGTATATAGAACAGCACATCATGTATTAGAAAAGTCCCCCATCAGAGTCTAGTACTTTGGTAAAACTAATTAATATTGCTCAAGTATGAAGGATGGAAAATGGAGCCAGATAGTTAACTATTGTTATTCTTAGGATTCTAGCAATGTGTTAGTCTTAATTCCATTGTAATAATTGTAATGAGCTTTTGGTTGCATATTATAACTCTGGGATAAGATATTTGTTACATTAATAACAAAGTATACCCTGTATTTTTAAAAGTTTTTTCTTATTCTAAAAGAAAAATATTCATTGTATGAAATTTAAGAAGTAGAAAAACATAAAGAACAAAATAATCATCTCTCTGAAGTTCTGTAGAGAATTATTAATATTTTAACATATTTACATTCAATATTTTTCTAAGTAGAAATGCATAGACACACACATCTATTTTTTTGTAAAACTGGATTCATATGTACATAGAAAAATAAATTTTTTTACTTAATATTATATCATGAACATTTTCTATATTATTAAATATTTTTCAAAAGTGACCTATAATTTAATGGGGGTGAATGGCATTCCCTAATATCATTATGCTATGATTCATTGACTGCCCTTGATACCTTAAATACTTTTGAGAAGTCTGACCAACAGTATAGTTTATGTATAAATATATTTGTATGTAAATACTTATGAAATATGTAAATATATATATAGAAATCATATTATACATTTAGATAATATCTGAATTATTTATTTAAATGATTAATCATTTAAATCAATTATCCTATTGTTGGACACGAGATATTTTACTATTAGAAATAATGCTGTGAAACTCCTACTTATATTTTAAACACATGGGGATCCCAGGTTCCAATGTATAAAGGTTTGAGACACTTAATGCATCTTCCCAAATTGCTTTCCAGAAAGAGATCCCCTCATACTCTACCCCTGGCTGTTAATGAGAATGCCTATCCTACTTCTTAACTGTTTTGGATTTTGTGAGAAATTATATCTGATTTTAAGTTGTATTTTTTTAACTAAGAAAGAGGATATATTTAATACAAAATTTGTTTTCCTTCTATTAAAAGTAATACACGCTTTACTCTAAAAACTTCAGAGACACTACAAGTATAAACAATGAAAGTCACCCATGATCTCGTCAGTTGGGGATCACTGTTGGCAGCATTTTGAATTATTGTTCTTTAATTGCAATCCAATACCTATTAAAGAGTGTTAATCCATTGCCTGTGATATTTGTTACAAATATTTATTCCCATTTGTTATTGACTTTTAACATGTTATCTTTTGATGGCCAGGTTTTATTTTGTATATAATCAAATCTGTCAAACTTTCTGTTTGAACTTTGTATACATTGCTTTTATGTTTAGAATATGTTCTATTCAAGTGTTAGTAAATAGTCATGTATCTTTTATAGTTTTTTCATGACTTAATTTTTTCACTTAACTCTTTAATTCATTCAAGTACATATGATTTTAATTGTTAATCACACTTAAAATAGGAATTTCAGTTACTAATTTTCTTGCCAGTTTTCCTTATTATGCTGGAAATTCCTTGAGATAAGAAGCATTTATTGTTTAGCTTGTATTTCAGATTTCTACCAGGGACCTGGCACATCATTTCCACTATATAAATACTTAAACAAGGTCCATATTTAAACAACTGGACAATTCATATAACAACCTTACCTTTTAAAATTCTTTGAGTCTAGGACCTGATTTTGTAATTTCTTTCTGGATTTTGCCTGCTTTAGTCCAAAATCATCACTATTTAATGTGAATTTGTTCACGAAACCACCATCATCCCCCAAGAGGATGTCATCTCGGCAGATCTGGTCAGACGGAGACACTACACACACGCAGAGGAGGCAGTGATCCATAGGCTTGATGATGCAATAGTTTTCCTAGAAACAGAAGAATATTTTAGTCAGTCATTACATTGCTTTAAATACCCAAATATTAAATTTAAATACTGCCCCATTATTTGATAAATATTTTGCTTTCCGATGTCTCCCATTTTAGATAACTCCCACAGAGTTAAAAAAAACTTGAAAAGAAGAAAAAATCCCAAAGACCTCTGGTTCAACAGCATTAAGATTTTCTGATGTATTACGGTGAAGGTCCCTCTTAGATTGGTAAGGCAATATGAAGAGGAAGCGTAAAAAGGTTCCAGTGACCTTTTATGTCAAGCCATTGACATGAAAGTGGATGGTAAACAGGAAAATCAAGTATTGAAATTATTTTACAAGGAGAAATATTCATCAGGCATTTATCAGGCTGACTGTACTGTTGAAATGGATTCACTATGCTGTCTAGCCATGGCTCTCCTGGAACTTAGTCTCTATGTAAGACAGAAGAAAAAAATACTAAAAACGTTTTTTTCATTTGTTTCTTTTAGAATGAGTGAGACTTGAACATACTTCAAGGCTTAGTCAGTCATTCAGCAAATACTTATTCAGCGATGTACCAAGAACTATTTTAGGTACAGGCTGTGCAGGGATGCACAAGAAAAGTGTCTGACTTTGTGAAACTGCCATTCTAGTGGGGGACACAGGTGACTAAACCGTTCATTTCTGACAATGGGGAGGACACTTCTGTAAATAAGCCAGAATGCTGTGACACAGAGTGACCAAGGAGGCCATTCAGGTCCCTGATCAGGGCAGGTGACCTTTGACTGGGACATGAATCCTTTGACAGGAAGGTTGAGAGGAAATGGCCTGGAGGAGAGAGTAATGTCAGAAGGACAGAGAGGGAGGAAGCCTTGGAGCCTTGCCCTGGAGTGGCGGGAGGGAGAGGGGTGACAGACGCAGGATCCGTGGGCTTCAGAGAGGAGGGAAGGAACGAAGGAGTAAGAGGGTAACCTCATTAACGCTGTGGGTGGGAGAGCTGGGATTTGAAGGAGGACAAGCCTCCTAGACTCAGTTTCCTTAGAAGAATAGGGCCAACTCCATCTGTTGAGAGGAAGAGGGCCTGAGGAGAAGGGAATTCTAGACACCTGCCAGGAATGGGACAGCAGATTGACAAGGACAAGAAAGAGATTGAAGGAAGCCCCTGAGTCTGCGGACCCTGAATCTGTAGTGATGCCAAATAGTGCGGTTTGTGGTTTTCCCAGCAGAGCTTATCCCTGGGGAGGAGTGGGGCGGTGCTGTGACATCTGTCTAGGACTAGAGTTTTGACAAATACAGATTTAAGAGAATGGAAGGTGGGATGACTTCAACTCAGATGGTCCACCCAGGGCTGTAGGCAGGAAGGGAAGCAGAGAAGAGGGAGGTGACTAAAGAGCCACAGAGGATGCTTTCAAGGAACTGGAGGCTTGTATGGGATTGAGAAATACGAGTGGGACGAGAGGTAGTCACAGGGCACAAAACACAGCACATGAAGCTACTATCTGCCTTCTTTCAAAGATTTTTGGCATCACTAGTTGGTGACATCATGTGCAAGCACGGGAGGTTCAGCTTTTCACCTGGCTAAGGACAACGGAGGCACAGGAGCAGGCTAAGTATTATTTAATCCACAGCCTTCAGTCAGCCTGTCTTCTGACGGTATTTTTCTATCTCCTTGCCTCTCCGATCCCCTGTTGCACTTGCTCTTTTTTATTGTTTAATATCCTGTCCATTATATTGTGTATTACATTTACTCAGGAGATCCTCCAAAACTGAGTTTTATTCAGCACAGGGAACATGTTCATTACTTTTATATGCCTGCATATGCTTAATAAATCCTATAAATTGGGTGAGTGGTAACATCACAACCCCTGGAGGGATTAACATTAACATCTGCCCTGTTAGATATCTTTCTAGAATTAGGCATTTGGTTTTAGTAATTTTCTTACCAAATGAAGCTGGACTGGAGAGTAAGGCTTTGAATTTGATACCATGAGCATAAACGAAAAGCTAAAACTTGGATTCAGAAAAGGGTATAAAAGAAGAAGGGCATTAGCCTCTTTCTTTCAAAAACAAAGTGAACAAGAAAACAAAACAAAACAAATACTGCCAAATAAAACACACACTGAATGGAAAGAATGTTCCCTTTTAATTAGACTCACAGAATACTAATGCTGAACTTGATGGCTTAGTGAACCCCCCTCATTTTACACATGAGAAAACTGATGTTAAGTCGACTGCTCTTATCCTACAGGTATGGGAAAAAGACAACCTCATTTTTTTGAGTGTTTCTCTTGGCACAGTACCTTGCCGCTCCCCTGAGCTTTATAATCCCAGACAATAATGGTCCTTTCTGTAGCAGCAACAATCCGTTTCAGCTGTGGGAGGTAATCGCATCCAGTAATCCAGGAGGTGTCCTGACAGAAAAGCACAGAACTGAGGGTGTAATGGCTTTAGGTGTGTCACATGGAACAGTTATGAGGAGCAGGGTCGCAGCCCTGTTTGGAGCCTTATGTGCAGAGGAGCCTTGTGATGCCTGTTCTTTGATTTCTCGGAGGGAGTCTCCCCTCCTTTCCCCTCCAGCCCTGCCCTGAGTCTGTCAGCTCCCTCAGCTGGGGATGATGAGGCCAGGGGCTGGCGCAGCCCCCAGAAAGCATGCAGTGGCTGAAGCAGTCCTCTGTGTGCACTGTTCATTGAGAACACTTCATGTGGACACCAGGACTCTAGATCAAGCAAGTTCTCTGGCTGTACTCATGCTTAAAATGTTTATCTAGAAAAGACCCTGGGGATCATCTGGTCAATACTTCAAGTTAAAGCCAATGTCTTGTGTCTTGCTTAAAGTCACCATGTGGGCATGAGTGGATCTGTAATGTCAGTGGCACACTACTGAGCAAGAACAGCTCCCACACAGGAGCCCACGGTGCTGCAAACTGCTGGGCAGGTGTCAGGCATGTCCTCTACTGTCTGTAAAACCCATTTAAGAAACAAAGGCTCAGAAGCTTAGAGGGCAACTAGACTCTTCTGCCACGTGGCCTGGTGCACTGTGTCAGCACAGGCAAGCAGGTAAAAGTAAGCATTTCCCATTGCTCGTAAAGCCACGTGGGGTCCTCAAAGCAACTCACAGCTCAACACCTGCAGCCAGCTCACTTTTCCAGTCAGCTATATGGAGTGAATAAATTACAAAACTGCACTCAATATTTTTATGCTGCTTTCAAGTTTAAAATATTTTAAAATTGTTCTTGTGGGATATCTCCTTGTTGTCCTCACAACTAGGTTGTGTCCATTTTATACATTCCTCAACAGTGGGTGTTCAGAAAAACGTAGGCCAGTCTTTTAAATGGAAGCCTCCAGGGAGTTTCCAAGCCATTCTATGCAATCATGTTAACTCCAGAAAGCAAGATCTGGGTCCTCTTGACAGTTGCTCAGGTTTAGTTTTGATCTAGTCAATAAACAAAAATATACCATCTATGAAAACATCTTATTCACAGCCTATTCCAGCACCTCATTGAGACTGGTTATGGAGGAGCCATCATCATAGCCTTAAATATGACTCAAATAGGACTTAAAAAAATGTACTTACTGTAACATTGGCGCTGATTAGAACTCTCATCTATAAATAAAGGAAGAAGATAATGAAATCTTGTTGGCACTGCAATTACAGATGATGAGGAAACTGACTCCGAAACCACACAGCATTTAATTCCACCCGTCATTTTTACCTTCCTGGAGTCACCTCCCTAGAAAAGCTAGTTCTGTGCAATAGTGCTTTATCTGCTGTGGGCAAGATTTAGGCTTCTGTGGCTTGTTTTTAAGCCTGGTGACTGTGCCTTTAGAGTCTTGTAGTTTACTCATTATTTTTTTCTCCTCTTGGCAAACTGCCTCATATGCTTTAGCTATTCAGAGAAACATTTAATATAAAGCAGTTAGGAATGCAAAATGATACAGCAATGGCAGGGTGGTTAAAAGAATACTAAATAGGCCAATACGAATATAGACTGAAGTAGAAAAAAAACATTATTTCATTTTAAAGTTCTCTCTTAAGTTATTGAGACTTAAGAACATTCTACCCAGTGGGCTTCCTCTTTTACTCAATAGGTATCTATTGAATGAGTATCATGCCCTGGGTACTATGCTAGTTGAGAAGCATGGGCTTATTCCATGCAGAGCTGTCATGTATGGGAGCAGCCTCTGACATCCTCAAGGCATGTTACTTGCCTTAAAGGTAAAGGTAGGCAGTCAAGTATATTCATGACCTGGTTTCTTTTGCATGGTCAAATGGTCTTGGAAAAAGTCTAGGAAATGGCTGCCCAGAGGCATGGATTATGTGAAAAGGAGGACAAGCGCATCAGGAGGATCGCTAGAACTGTTAGCCGTGGTCATGGCAGACTGTCTTTCCTTGGAGTGTCCAAAAGGCTTTTCCAACCAGGGACTGTGTTCTAGATGGGAAAAATCAAGTTCCCTAAAAGAAATGGGTGAGCAGAGAACAGAACACCTGTGGTTTCCTCTTCTATTTCTCTACCTCTGTCTTTAACAGAAGTCACATATTTAAACTTTTATCATCTTTGAAAGTTTCATCATCCTTATAAGCTATCTTCTGAATTTTTAATATCTAGCCTATTTTGCAGGAACTTTTATTAATGACCTTTACAGTCTATATCACCAAGCCCTCCAGCAAGCAATATAAAAATCCTTAAATGTGTTTTTTCTACTTCAGATAGAGCCTAAATTATGGAGCAACATATTATAAGATATTTTGCATTATTAATGGCTACTTTTAAATAAATTATTCCTGTGACCCATCCAAATTGTTTTTCTCACAGAATGTAACATCCTATTTGTTAGACATGCAACATTCAAAATACTGTTTATTCCCAGTGTGCCAAATCTCAAAATAATTAATTATTAAGAAATCTTTTTTCTCTAATTGCATTTTCTTATAAGAAACAGATGTGTCTGTGTTTGTGAGTACATGTGTGTGCAGCCATAAGCCTGTGTGTGTCTACATGAGATACATCTCTGGAAATGTGCTAATGCCATGTCTTTTATTGCCTATAATTCTAAACTCTTTTGTTTTGAAGATTATCATTTTCCTTTGCATGTTTTTCCCTAGATGCCATCTTAGTTCTATTTTTGAGGAGATAAAGGTAAAATATGAGAAGGGAAATAAGGCACTAAGAAAAAAGATGGAGAAGGCTTGTATTTCCATGAGGCAAAGACATTTTTGTTTTCATACCATTTGTTCGTAATTGTAGCTGCCAGTTTCCTGAGTGTGTACAATGACCCTAAGCACTTTGTATGTACTAACTCTTAAACAGCACAACTACCCTAGGAGGCAAATTCTCTGGTTCTGGATGAATAGGAACCAGGGTGTGGACATAAATAAGTGACAGGCACAGCTGGTCAGTGTTGGTGCCCAGCAGGGAAGGAAGCCCTGAACACCACCTCGGGGCCCAGCGGCCTGCTCCTCTGACATAATTTGGCTGCTCTGGTCACTGAGGGGCTAAAAATTACTGTTGAAATTCTAATCATGTGACGATCACTTTAAATATATTTTTTTGTATAAAGCTTGTCTCCTCTTGGAAATGAACTAAAAATTGGGATTATAAATTTTGAGACTTAACACCATTCCACCTTTTTTCATAGTGAAATACTGTGTAGGCTGTATCATCATCCATTCCATTAAAATCTGTCATGTTTTGGAAAAATGGAAGTCCAAAACTTAGAAATCTAGAGAGAAATTACAATATTAACAGTGTCTTACATTTATAAGGGAATTTGCCACTCATGAGTGCCTCCACATTCATGATCTCATTTATTTTCACGACAGTCCCCCGAGGGAGAGGGTGTCCTCGGTTTACAGATGTGTGAGAAGAGACACCAAAAGATTAAAGTCGGCTCATGAAGTTCCCTGCTGAACATCAGAGCCAGTACAGTGGAGGGGCTAGAATTTGAGCCACTTGTTAACTCCAAGTCCAAGGTTCTTATTGGGACCTTCATTACTTGTTAGTCACTTGGCCTGTGAGTGTTTCTGAATTTATCTAAAAAATTATCCAGCATCATCCTTTAATTGTGTTGATGCCACACAGTTCAGTACGACTCCCTGAGGAACACTGCCAAATGCAGTTACCAACACCTCAAAAATTGCTCGAGGGTTCAGCAATCTCCTTTTAGTAGTATTTGGCCTTATTTTCTAGAATAACACTGACATATGGCTCATGGTTTCTGCTGCACCTGAGACATATGTGTAGTGCAAAGACAAAACAAAAGAGGAAGGAAAGGGGAGAGAGGAAAAAAACCTAAGCTTTCAAATTACCTGGCTATTAAAGACTGTTATTAATCCTTTCTGAGAAGCTGCTATTAATAAATCTAGATGAGGAATCTTGACAATGCCCTTAATCACATCTCGTCTTCTGCTACCTGTCAATAACAAAATATTCATTTCAACTCCCAGTCATAAAGGTTCTAAAACTCATTTGTTAGGTTTGTCTTTTTTAAAAAAAGAATAAGAAAGCAGCCAACTTTTTTCTAGAGAGCCCCAAGTTACTTAAAAGATAAAGTAAAATAAAGCTTTAAAACCCAGCAACCATTGCTTTTTAATTATCCACAGAGATAGTAATCTGAATCTATCGCACTTTCCAACTAAATGTGTTGCATGAATTCCCAGAGAAAATGTAAGACACAAGCTCACTACCCTCCCTCATATACATACACCTACACAAACATACATGCATGTATTCCCATTTTACAGACAATGTGTTTTTTGAACACCTTTTGGAATAATTTCTAGTCTGAGATGTTTACATCTCTTAGGAATCCTTTCTTTGAACTGTCACCATCATGATTTACCCAGAATAAAAACCTAATGCTATCTCAGGCTTTCCACTATAAAAGAATGAAACTAGTTTCATACTGTTATTCAGGTTGTTTTTTGTGTATTTTGAAAAATGCACAAGCACTTTGATGATTCTTTGCCTATGTACTGAACAAGAAAGCCACATACACTGGACCTCTTTCCAGGGTAGTTTAGTTCTTGTAAGCGTAAACTCTTGAAGAGGAAAGCAAGTCAATGGATCTCATAGTCCAGGATGATCACCCTAATCCATGCAATCTCAACAAAGAAAATATTGCCCTCAAGGGGGTACAAATGGGATCTTGAAGGGTGTGAATGAGTTTACACTTTTTGTGTATAAAGTACAGACATATACATATAGTACATAAACAGATACACAGTATATCCACATATTAAAATGTCATGGGGTAGGGGGTGAAGGTGTTGTGGAGTACAGTTAGGAAAAAAATGTCTAAAAGGCTTCTTAGGGACCTCAGAATGAAAAAAAATATGTGAAATAATAATGAAAGAAAGTTTGAGAACACTATCTTATTCCAAACCCACAATTCTCTGCTGCCACTCCTTCCCCACTGTAGACTGTTTTCAATACAGAAGCCAGGATAAACATTTGAAGGGCCACACAGATCATGCCTCTCCTCCAGCCGCAGCCCTTTAGTGGCTTTCTGCCTCACTCAGAAGTCCTTCAGGTGACATCAAGGCCCCAGACACCTGACCCACACCTCGTCTGGAACCTCAGCTACTGCTCCCAACCCCACTCCCAGCTCCACTCCTGCTTCAAGTGAGAGGTTTGCTGTCACATCTCTTCAGGGGCTTTTATCACCAGCTGCTGGGGGCTTCCTGATCACCCTATTTAACGTCACAGCACCAAGCTCCCATCTCCAAACCAACTTCTTCCCCATACTCCTGTTTTATTTGGCTTGCTTTCTTGATTATCTTTTTCTATAGCACTTATTACCATTTGACATGTATTTAAATTTGACTTTTTTTATTGTCTGACTTGGTCTCTGCCCATTAGAACATAAATTCCATGAGGTATGGGATTTCTGATGGTTCACTGCAGCATCCCCGGTATTTAGAAAGTTACCTGGCCCACACAGCAGAGCTTGACAGACATTGAGTGAGTAAATGATCCACAAAACCCAACTGCCATCTAGAAAAATGCTTTCAAGGTTCTAGCTTAGGATGCCAGCTACATATCTCCTTGGCTCACGGGCCTCAGCTCTGAGTTGGTGGAGAGGGACAACCTCCTTCTTCTGTTCTTTGAGGACAGTGTCCTTGGCCAGAGGCTGTGCTCTGGCGAGGCCTATGGTTGGGCTAAGGAAAGGCTGAAGACAAGGGTGGGCTTGGTTCACAAAGGTGCGTATTTAAAGAACACCAGATTTAACCTAAACAACACATTTCATTGCAGAATTTGGGCTAAAGGCTGTGGACAGGGGCAGATTTCAGAGTTTGCCTCTCCTCCTCTGGGAGGGAAGAAAGGAAAGGAAGCCTGACATGTCAGCTTGGAGAGAGATGGGTCCAGGCTCAAATTTTTAACAAACGGCATGTAACTGGAGACTTCCTAAGTTAGGCCCAGGTCTGCCATATCAGAGATACAGGTTAAGCTTCCAGCCAATAATCAAGGGTGATAGTGTGGGAAGAAGCTCTAGTTAGTGCAAACTTGAAAGTGCAACTTGCAGAACGTTTCAGGAAGTGCGATTCCACATGGTACTGGAGCACATGCCTTTGCAGACAGTTTCAACTTGAGATCTGAACCTCTTCATGAAAACCTGAGTGCTCCCCCCTTACGTTCCCTATTTAGTTTCCTGCAGAGCAATGACATGTCAGACTCAGCTGCAGGTGTAGTTTCTGTTTTATCCCCAATATTTATTTTTTGAGAAAGTATTAAAACTCATGTTAATTTGGAAGAGAAATTTAAAGTATCACCTGAAATGATAATTCGCTGTTTCCTAGAAACGAGGAAAACCAAATTGTCTTCATCCACCTGGGAAGCAAGAGAATCTTCTTCGGAGAAGTACCCAAAGATCTGAATCCCAAACACATATACATGTGAACATCTCAGAACCGGCTGATAAAGTAACAGATTTGACATTGGTTGAATTTAAAGTCTAATTTGGATTAATAATCAAGACCTGGCTTTATAAAAGTCAGGGGTTCCTTGTACCAAGAGAGGGCAGTTTAATGTGTTCAGCACACCCTGTGTTGGTGGTGTGGGATTTTTAAGGAGTCACTGATTTTTTTTCTTTCTGATGGATGGACCAATCGATGGACCAGCCTGGTGTCCTTGCTCAGACTGACATTCCTATTAGGAGTCAATACTTGTTTGGAAATCACATCAGCCTTAAGCAGACAAGGGTCTGTGCTGAGAACTTTGATGTTAAATTTGGCCACTCTCAAATGACTGTCACTACCCATTTCCCATAAATCTTCTTGGGCAAGACCTTTCCATTCCTTTAAGGGGGAGTTCTGGAATTTGAGACACTGCGCATGTTCTCCCCTTGGATATTCCAAGCCCTACTCTCTAATGTGTTGCATGAAAATAAATCACTCTGAAAGAATATCCTGACAAAGTACTCTTTATCTGTGAGTAAATTGTCAGTTGGGTAGTTCCAAGGAATCTGAAAAGTAAGATAGCTGTTTTTTAATTGCCTTATGAAAAAGCAGAAATAAAATTCTCATAACTTAATGACACAGTATTTCTCATAGAGTTGCGACCAGTTGGTACTTGTTAAGGTGTGGGCATGAGGGACCGTGGGGTGCTCCTGGAGCCCTGGGTGGGCGGTGGGCACTGGGACACCTTGCAAGTGCAGGTTCTGATCCAGTAGGTCTGGGGGGAACTGAGAGTCTGCACTTCTTATAAGCCCCCATGAGGGACCACACTTTTGAGTATAAAAGACCTAGTGACTAAATGAGTCGACTGAAAATACATCCAAGCCAGCTATATGCTTTTGTTTGAACATTTGTTTATGCTGACTCTGGGTGACAGCCCAAAGTCACATATTGACATATGTTCCTTCAAACCGATGTCCTTGCTTCCTCCTTCACGTTTGCCCACACCCAAGTCTCACAACATATGACCCCCTTAATCGCTTTCCGCAGATGGACTTCATTCTGTGGCAGATCAGGATCACCTAGACCTTCTCTCTCATATTTTCCCCTCTTCCCACCAGCAAAATCAGCCCCCAATCCAAGCTTAAATAGTCCATTCTCTTCTCAGAAACCACTACTCATTTTCCATGAGTACAAAAACTCTGGAGTTAGCATCTAATTTTCTTCAAAGGACTGAGAAATGAGGCAGAAGAGTCCTTTCACTATGTCGTTGTTGGGAGTCTTTGTCACAGCAGTTTCCTCATCCTGCTCACTGCTGTCTTACTCGGTCAGCAGTCGGCCGTAGGTCTGCACCCCAGCCCTGCAGCATGTGACCCACATCATTGCTGTGTGTGAAGGGCATGCATGGTGGGGTCAGATGGTCCAGGTTTTTAATTCAGACTCTATGCTAACTGGGACTCAGAGCTTGGATAAATGTCTCCCCCTCCTTACATCTCCATTTCTTCCTTAGTTGAACAAAAGGACAAATATCTGAGTGTTTAAAATGTTAAATGAGATTATGTGTGTAAAGCATTTTGCAGTGTAGTCTGGCACATATTAATTGTTTACAACAAAGATTAGCTAGAGTTAAACCATTAGAAAGCTTAGACTAAGAAGGTCTCATGGAAGGGTGGGAAAAAATGGTGGAATTCTATCAAGACCACAGCCACTAATGAGAAACTTAGCTCTCTTTGGGGATAGTACTTTAAACTGGTCAGTCCACTTGGGGTTGGAACTAGTTCTTCTTGTATGAAAGACTGATCAGGCAGGCACTGCAGTAAGTTGATGGTGTAGTACATCACTGGGAAGATTCAAATGACTTCCTAGCCCATAAGAACTGAGAGGGACACGGAGCCCCTTGCCCCTCCCATTCCAGCAGGGCCTTATAGCCTTTGCTTCCTTTCTTACCCAGTTCAGAAAATACCTGGATGTCATAAACATGAAAAGTGACTACCTCACACCAGTCCATAGATGCATGAGGGTTGTTGCAGAGTTTTCTGTAAAAGCATTTCACATCTTGATTCTTCACTTCTGGACCAAAGAGTTCCTGTGTGGCTGCATAAAACTTGTCATAATCAATGGCATCTGCATTGTAACAAAGTACAAGGACATTGTCATAAAATTCCCAAGGACTATATTGCATATTTTGGCTGTTTTTTCTATTTACTAGTCTTATTTCATTATTTCACCCTATAAAAACTAAATTATTCTTCATTTTAAAGATCCTTTCATTGGAAATATAACACTAGCCTTAGCTAAAACATTACTGAGTCAGAAGGAAATATTTTACTTTGGTGTTTTGTATCTCCTCCATAGCTTTTGTTTCAACTGTTCTGGGAATTTTGTTTGGGAAGCCAAATATAAGAAAGTGAATTAGTTCTTAAATATTGTGAAACGTTTTACCAATCAGGAGGGTTTGCTAGAGCTCATCTTGGGTGGAAAGTAGAAGTGAGCCGATTGCAGTTCCCGATGGGCTCTTTGACGCTGCACAGATGCACTCACACACACAAACACACCATTGCCCGAATATCGATTTTGCCAAATCTGGTCATTTACTGGGGTATAACTATTAAGGACGAGAAGGAGTCAGACACAAAATGCACCGAGTATTTGTTATGTGGCAGAACTGAGCTGGACACTGGACTTAGAAATGTAATGGAACTGGAAAACCAGATAGACAAGATCCCTTCTTTTGGGATTTTTTTTACATTCTAATGGGAGAAACAGAAAATCAACAAGTGAACAAACTAATAAAATATTGATGAACTGTGACAGGCAAGACTAACGAGTAGAGATAGACATTAGGTTGGTTATGAACGTATATAAGGTGAGAAGGGCTTGAGGGAGCATTCTGGGATGCTATAGATTTTCTTTCTTTGATCCAGTTGATAGCTACAGGTATGTTTACCAATGTCCAAATTTATTGAGCTCTCTCCTTGAGGTTAGTGTGCTCAGTGAGCTTGGCTCTGTGTGCATCATACCTCTCTTAGCAACAGAGTAAAAGTCATGAGGTATAGAGTGAGTAAGTGCTCAGAAGGAAACCTGTAGGGAGTTGTGATAGAATTTTCTAGTGGTGGTGGGTGGGGATTGACCTCAGGGAAGTCCTCTGTAAGAACATGGGCAAAGAAATCAAGCTGAGACCCAATAAGCAAAAAGGAGTCAGCCATAGATAAAGCTGGACAAGAGCGGCTTAGGCCAAGGCTGATAAACATAAAGCTGCTGAGGCTGGAGAGAATAGCCTGTTCTGGGCAGGTCACTGAGGAGGACAGTGGGGACTGGGGGACGTGCTGGATGTGATCACAAAGGGAAGGCAGGCCAGGCTGGACTCAGAAGTTTGCATTTTGGTCTAAGCATGATGGTAATCTGTCCCGGGGAGGTGACACATGCAGGGAAATGACATGTGTTGAATTAAAGTCTGAAAGCACACTGGCAGCTGTGAGGATGGGGAGAGCCGCAAAGCCAGGGAGGGGCTGGTGCATTAGTCCTTGTGTCAGGTAGTGCAGACCTGGGCCAGCGCCAGACAGTGATGGTACTTCCTGGGCTGCATGGAAAGTCTCACTTGTGCCTATTCCTCAACTTAATTACAACTCCTTTCACTCTTGGAAGTGGTCTCACGGGGATGATGAGTGACAGACACCACAGAGAGCACAGGAGATGGCAAAGTATGGCTGCAAGGAGATCCCAAACACCTGGAATGGGTTGGAAATTGTTGGGGGCAGAAGTGCTGAGTAGAGGGCAGGCAGGATTCTAGAGCAGTGGTTCTCATCCAGGGCAGGCTTTGCCCTCTGTCTCCACAGGAATGTTGGCACTGTCTGCATACATTCTCGACTGTGACAGCTGGGGGTGCAAGTGCGTCTGGCTTCCACTGGGTGGAGGCCAGAGATGCACTGAACACCGTACGGTGCCCAGGGCTGCCCCGCCCCCTCCCCACCTCACACAGAACAAAGCAGCATCCAGTCCAAGTGTCAGGAGCACCCAGGTGGAACAATGATCCTGCTCTGAAACGACACTCATGTTTCTGGCTTTAAAACTCAGTGGATGTAGGTACAGTTTACCAAAACAGGGGCAACTGAGGAAGGACCATGGTTCTTGGGGAAAGTAAAGCATTCCATCTTGCTTGTGTTGGATTGAAATTCTGTGAGATATCCAAATCCTTTAGCTGCTTTAAATTCACAACGTTGTGACTACAGCATGTCTCATGGTAAATGGGTCTCTCTGTATATGCACTGGATGAGAGTGATAAGACTTTCTCAGGAGGATTTTAATTCCATCAAACTATTGGCAAGAAGATAGAAGAGCAATATTGGTGGGTGAATTCCTACAGTATGCCTGATGTGTTTTTGGAGGTGGACACTCTTCCATTAAACACATTAGCTTCTTGACTAGTGAGAGGTAGACCCTATTTTCCAGCATTTATGAATGAATGGGAATGTAAGCCAATATCAGCAGGCAGATGGAAGTCAACTTACATTTCTCCTTCTCAATCTTTTCAGGTTGGTCTCTCTGTTATGGTGATTTATCTGGCAGTACTTAGTTTTTATCAAATTTAACGTATATATGTGTATGTATATATACAATGGTATATTAAGTACAATATTCTATTAAATATCTATATATCTCTATCTGCACATATCCATATATGCTGTAGAGGGAGGAAGTTTTTCAATGTGGCCTTATGATTGCATGCTTCGAAATTAAAGCAAGGTGATTTGTTCATTTAACACACACGTAAAGAGAATTTACTGGACACCAGACTCTGGGAAAGCACTGGGGTTACAAAACCTTCAGAGCACTCAGCTCACTGATGGCGAGAAGTGGCAGGAACGGACATGTAATAGCAGGTAAATTCCTCAAGATAGCAATAAAGTGTGCTGATAGTGCTACAGATGGCCTTGCTTGGGGAAAGTCTGGAGGTTTTTGCAAAGAAGTGACATTTGATTTGGATCTTGAAAGGTGAGCAAGAGTTAATAGTCACAATAAAAAGGGAGGAAAGGCACTCCACACTGGGCAGATGACATGTGCACAGTCAGTCACGAGGAGTGTGGCATGCTTGGAGATGCTGAAAGGTTCATATCAAGGCAGAAGGTGCATGAAGGAAAGCCCCGGGAGCTGGGCTGGAAAGGTGGGTTGAGGCATGACTGTCAATAGCCTGGATGCCAAGTTGAGATATATGGGTCTTAGAGGTGAGCTAATAAACCAGGCATGTGGCATTTATTTTAAAAGGAAAAGCTCCGCGTAAGTATAGAGGAAGGGATAACTCTTGGCAAGAGGACTATTGTGTCAAGAGGCAGTTGTGGTAATCAAAGAGTGATATCTGGCTTGGGAGATGAAGTGGATGGAGTCTGTACTATAAGACTGAAACAGGACACAGGCACAGTTCAGGAAAAAAGGCAAAGAAAGAATGAGAAAGGGGAAAAGTAAGAAGAGAGTGGTATGAGGAGAGGACGGCAGGACAGCATTTCTGGAAGCAGCGGCGGCGAGCTGTGAGTGCAGTGAAATGGCCAGGTAAGCGTGAAAATGGGAACATTTTATTGAATTTGGCAACCCTATTGGGTGATTGAATAACTCGGTAAGAGTTCAGCAAAGTGATGAGAGAAGCCAGACTTCAGTAAATTGAAAATTAAATGTTGACGCTGCAGGGAAATTAAAGGGAGAAGCAAAGGAAAGACATAGGGCAGCAGTTTACAGGGAAGACAAGAAAGTCAAGGTCAGGACACTTGGATCTATTTTTAGTTTGAAAGGACAAAACCAGTAGAAAAGGAGATTTTGAAGTTGTTGTAGCAAAGGGAGAGCCTTGGAGGGGAGGAGGGGTGGAAGAAAGGACAGGAGCCCCTCCGGGTGACTTGGAAGTGGTAGAAAGGGGGTTCGGGAGAATCCTTGTCTAGCAGGGGCCTGAAGTTTGGCTGAGAGGAGCTGAGGTCCCATAGAGGATTCAGAAGAGGTGGTAAGGGTCTGGAAAATCAGTTGCAGAGAGAGGTAAAACAAAATGGCTAGGGAAAAATCAAAGGTTCGTAGAGAAGTTTAGCAGGCCCAGCCAAGTTCACCATCATCTCAAAAGGCATTTTGAAAAGGTCTAAGTCTTCACTCTAACAGAAGTTGGGTGGCAGGCAGATGATTTATGTGGACCTTTCATTTCTTAACAAATAAAATGAGGATAATAACAATAATAGCAATATCTGTCTATTAACATTGTCATGAAACTCAATTAAATTATATTTATTAAAGTGACTTATAAACTCTTAAATACTATTCAAATAATACCAGTTTGGATCTGAACACCCAGAGTCAACATTTTTACTTATTTATGACTCTGCATCCTGGCATAGTAAGAGCCTGGCCATGCTGACCCCTTAGCAGTTAAACAGGGCCTGTTTCTTTCCTTGCACCAGCAGGGTTTATTCTGTTAGTCGTTTACTCTGCTGTTGAGCCTTCATCTCACTGCTGTCCTCAAAGCACAGCACACCACTCCCATGCTGGTCTACTTTCACTCCTGCGACGGCATCTCTGTCACCAGTACTCTGGGTAGACCGCTGCCCACTGCCCGCCCCTTGGCATGCTCGCAGTCATTCCAGCCTAGAGGCATGGGGAGTGGCCCAGACAGCGAATCAGAGTTTCAAAGGAAAAACTTTGCCCTGCTTAAGAAAGTGGCTATGGTCTGATACCTTTAAGCAAAGAGGTGGCAGGATGGATGGCTCACATGGCCTACTGATGGTCACTCTGCATTACTGAGGGTCTCAGGTCAAGCAGTGAGCTATCAAAAATGGTAGATCCCACAGAAGAACCCTTGGATGTCATTTAATCCAAACTTCTAATTTTACATTTGATACAACTAAAGTTCACAGAACAAAAAAGAAAGCTTCCCCAAGACCACTTAGCTATTTAACTATTTAGAACTCAGGTTCCCCTACAATGTCTTTGCTGTTAAGCTATGTTGCTTCTCTTTGATGGCTTAAGATAGTTTACGGTTCTAATCAACGGACCCAGCTGGACTGCCCTGTCATCACTGATCTTACCTTTTTGGACAAACAAGCCTGCTCTTTCATCTCTTTTCTGTGCCGCTGTACGTTCAATCAGTTTTTCAAGGCCCTTCAAGGCTGTCCTGAAATTGCTAGTCTGAAGTTTAGGGTTAAAATGCTTTTCCTCCCTGACATCCATAGGGATATAGGGAATCTGCTATTTCTGTACAGAAATAATAGTGCAAATTGCCAACTTGGAAAACCTTCCAGTGTTCACAGTGCCTCCCTGCTGTCTCCATTTTTGCTCTGGGTCTCATTCCTTTGACTTGAAAACCTCATCCTGCGGGTAGGAGCTAAGAGTTGCCACCAGGATGTTAGCAGGGAGAAGCACTGACTTGGGTCTAATGCACTTCATGCAGACAACCATTTCAGTAAAACCCCTGACCTCACAATGTCACCAGTGTTCTTCACCTAGTCCTCATTGCATCATAATCTCTCTGTCACTTCTTCCTTCTTCTATAAGGGGAGAGTCAGATGGTTTTTCCCACAAACTGTGTGTGCATGCATGCAAGCACTGCCTGAGAGGGAAGAAGAATGTGGGAAGGTAAAGTAGGAAACTGGGCTTCCTTGTCTCCCTCCTACATGTCCTGTCACCTCAAACCTTTTGCCTTCCTCAAGATGCCCTGAAGAGTGAAGTCCCCATTCATTCTTGCCACTGTACTGGATGTGGAACCATGAACTTCTAAAGATGAGAATGTATTTCAGCATCTCTCATTTCTATCCTGAATGAAGATATTTTTAAAGTCATAGAGAATAAAGATACTGCTGCTTCTTTTATGCATTGTCCTTCAATTAAAATAATAAAGCAATCAGGAATGGAGAAAGGGTAGTTCCTGATTGAGAGGAACATTCTTCAAGGTGTCATTAATTGGATGAGAAGAGGCCTCTGCCTACTTCCTTCCTTCCCTCTAATCCATCTCTAATACTCCAGAACCATTTAGTCCAATCGCTATAAAATCAAGTTTTCCAATTTTCAACTCTTTATGGGAAAGAGAGGTTGTCCAATGTCATATCAACAACTAGTTAAATTCCCATGGTTTAGATGAGTTAGAAGAAGCCCCTCTTAAAAAACCTCCATAAAATCTTGTATTCAGAGGTAAAGCAGATGGCGTTACTGGCACTTCCAGTCCTAGCACTGTCCCCTTGGTGTCTACTTTAAAGCTTTCAAAGGACTGAGTACTGACTCTGAAAGACAACCTTTCCTATAAATTTAATGCATGCATTGTTATCATCATCCATCCATTCATTCAGCAAGCATTTTTGAATACCTGCTTCATGCTAGATGCTGTTTCGGGCATTGAGATACAGCAGTGAACTAAATAGCCTCTTGAGCTTACAATCTAATGGAGAAGACAAATAAGCAAATAATGTCAGAAGGTGATAAACACTTTGAAGAAAAAGGGTAAAGGTGTGTGTTGAGGGATAAATCAGAATAAAGAGGTCAGGGAGTTCAGAGAAGCCCCCTAATAGACACTTCGGCCCACCCCAAGGGAGGTGAGGTGCTAAGCCATGTGGCTAAATGGGAGAAGGTGTTCAAGGGAACAGCATCTGTCAAGTCCTGAGATCAAAGTGTGCCTGACGTGTGAGAAATGACAGAGAGGCCATGTGACTGCAGTGATACAGGGAGAGAGGTGGGGAGACCAGGCCAGAGAGTCCGGGTAGAGCCACATCCTTCAGGACCAGACAAGCTGCTGTAAGGGCTTCAGGTTTTACCCTGAGCGAGATGGGATGTGTTTGAATAGAATAATGATATGATTTGACTTACATTTGAAAAGAATTACTCCAGCTGCTTTGTGAAGAATAAATCAAAGAGGAGAAAGGATAGCAGCAGGAAAACCAATTAGGTGCCAATTTCAATAATCTAAGTAAAAGACAACAGCTGCATAGATTTGGGCACTAGTGGTGGTGATGGGGCTAGTGGTCTGGCTGTGTGAAGGGTGATGTGAAGGGTGTGCTAAGTGGTTAGATGGGATGTGAGAGCAAGAAAAGGACCAAGGGGAATCCCAGGGAGTCCGGCCTCAAGAAGCCCAAAGGAGAGAGTTATCATTTACTCTTTTGGAAGGGAAGTTGGTGAGAGGAGCAGGTTTGTAGGGGAGAATTAAGAGTTCGATTTAAAATACGTTAAATTTGAGATGTCTATTAGATAAACAATTGTGAGTGTTGACTAAGTATGAGCCCAGAGTTCGGAAGAGAGATCATCAGCATTTAAGTGGTGTTCAGAGCCCCTGGTTTCGGTGAGATTGCCTGGGATCAAAGTAGATGAAGAAGAAAGAAAGCTGAGGACAGAATCTGAGCTTGCCAGTGTCAGGTCAGAGCGGTCGATAGCTAAGCACCACTGCCAAAGCCAAAGTGGGGGTGGCCAGTGAGGTAAGAGGAGAGCCAAGAGGAAGCAGTGTCTCAGCAGCCAAGACAGCAAAGTATTTTGAAATGAAAGGAGATGTTGAAGGACAATCCAGTTCATTCAATAAAGAAATTGCATAGGAAGAAAAAAGGAGGAGTTCGGACCTATAGATTAAAAGGAACTTTAAAGATGTACCAACCAATCATAGTGTGGGGACTGTATTTAGATCCAAACTGAAACATAATTATGACATTTATGAGATAATTGGAAGTTGGGGCACCAGCTGGATATTTGATGACATTGAGTAATTACTGTTCATTGTTTTAGATGTGATCATTTGATTCATGGTATACTGTTATCTATGTGATGTTATATTTTAAAGCTACATGCAGAAATATTCACAGATCAGCATTAAAGTACAAAGGAATAATAAACTGCCAAATACTCCTTATGGGCTATATCAGATAAGGATTGAAGTTCAACCATTAGAATGTGGATTATGGATTATGGTGACCTTGAGAAAATCTATCTCAGTGGAATGTTAGATCAAGGAGCGGGTGGAGGAGGGATGTGCAGACAGTAGACATAAATGGTATAAATGCATATAATAGCAGAGGCTTTTAGGAACATCTTAGAAGTGTATGCTGGGGAGTTCACAGCTATTATGATAATTTTAGAGCTACAGGATACATTTGTATTTGTATTTTCTCAAATGCAAAAATGAAATAATCACAGACTTAAAGATCATTGAAAAAAATCACTCATGTTCCTGCCATCCTTACAATACTATTGGCTTTAGAATATTTCTTTCTAGGCCCAGGCCACATACTTTGATAATTTTGTGCAGTTTCAATAGAATTAGGCACATTATTTAAATATTAATGTATTATTTCATATACCTGTCCCTGCTTCTAATATCCTTTATAATTTTCATCTATTTATATATTCTTCTTTTCCATCTATTTTTCACAATGAAATATTGTATGATTTTATTAAGTACTTTTTACATATAAATGATTGTGAAAGGTGATTGACATGCAAATTCAGAAGCAAACACACACCTAGCTGTGTAAGGAATGATATAATATTGTTGCCATTAGAGAAAAGCTCTAGTTAAACAATACATGAAATGGCTTCCCTGAGCTAATATAGTTTCAGCTTTATAAGTCATCTGAGAGCTCATGCATGGAAGTTAGCAGGCAAGGCCACGGCACAAGGCCTGTGGTTTGGCCCTCAGCTAGTCGTGACTTGGCCCAGGTACTGTCCATCTGGTAGAAATCCTGTCAGGGGCAATAGGTTGCTCTGCATTTTCTGCTTCTGAGTTCACCATGGCTAACTCCAGTTCTCAAATCAGTGAAGAACTGCTCTGGGAGAAATGAGTATTGTCCCCTGATGCATGTGGCAGGGCACAGAGGGAAGGCAGGAGATTCAACAGGGCATGGCACTGACTGGCCAGGTACTGCTAAGAATCTGGGCCATGCTCACACAGGCATTTCCAGTATAAAAAGATGATACAAGAGGAAAAGGCATCTTGACAACCCTCCTGCACATGTCTCTGGAGTCACATGCGTGCAGCCTGGACTGATGCCATGTGTGTATCTGGACATAGCTGTCATACTGCCATCTCCCTTTGCCATCATATTGGGAATTCCCTTATCTCCTAGATCCTATGCTTTGCTTTCCATGGTTTATTCTCTAATTTTGCTGGTTTACATCCAGAAATAGCACTTGGAAGATACCCTGCCTGTTTGAAAATGTCTCTTGTGTTTGACTGATGTTTGGTTAAGTATAGAATTCTGGGTTGGAAATTGCTTTCTTTTAATATTTTGAGAGTATTATTCCACTCTCTTTTGTCTTCTAGTGTTGTTACAAGAAGTCTATCTGATCAGCTCTGCTGCTGATCATAAGCTTTTCTGACCCCTGGTGCTTTGCACATAATTTGTTTTTATATTTCCCCCTCAGGAAGCTTGCAAATGTTCTTTTGTCCCAAGTACACCAAAATTTTATTATAATGGGTATTGGTGTAGATATATATACTACACAGTTCACCAACCAGTTCCTTTAAGAAATTGAATGTTTACTCTTCCCTAACTCCTTGGTAACCCAAACATGCTTTTAAGAGAAAATTTATAAATGAGATTTTATTTTTAAACAAATGTATGTATTTTGGGGGATGGAAATGTGAATAGGTACACAGTTTATGCATTAAGCTGATTCCTACACATCTGAGGAGCTAAATGCATTAGGGGAGTTGACATTGCCAGATTTTCTTTTTTTAAAAAGTTCAAATACAGTCACTAAATTATGTTTCCTAAGGCAGGGAAAGGTGCAGATGTGTTTGACAAGATTTTCTGTAAGGACTCTTCTGCTTCCCACCAGAGACTGAGGTTAGAGAAGCAAGGAAAGGATGCATCCCAGCTCTTGCAAGATTACTTGATTGGGTAGGCATTGAAGTTCCCTTTTAGGTGACAATGCATGATGCAGAAGGCAAGGGGTTATCAGTGACTCCAAGCAAGATGACCCATAAAACATGTCTCCATTTCCGCTCACCTCTAATTTGCTTTGCAAAGTCCTTTTTGGAAATAGGGATTATGGTGATTAAATGCTTCAGTGTAGGCAGATATTAAAATCACCCTTCTTTGCCTTGGTAGAGGCCCCACAATACAACTGAAGAATTCCCCACTCTAAAGGGTAGTACTGTATGGCCCATGCAGCAGGCTGTGTGAAGGCACTGGAAAGCCAGTTCTGCGTGGATTAGCCCATTCTCACCTTCAAACTAATTAAAAGAAGCCAGGTTGCTTAGGAGGTTAAGGAGACCTTTAGTGAGGACTTCCTTGGAATTTTCAGAGTACTCCAGGGGCTGTGGCCTTTTCCCTACATCCTTCTAACCAATGGGCACCAAAGGGAAGAGACAAGGGCTGGCCAGTTCTGCACAGAAGACCACATAAAGAATTTGGTGGAACAAGGATGCATGCATGTTTCCAGAGGGCAAGATGCTAGATTCTGAGTAGAGGAGTCAAGTCAGGTCATCTTTGGAGGGTCCTACTGGAAAAGACTGCCTGTAGGGCCTAGCGGACCCTAACCAGGGTCTGAGAGGGAGGTTAAATCAGCCAGTTTACAAAGGCATTGCCCCTATTGAGAGATTTGTGGAAGAAAGATATCCAGTGACTTCAGGTCCTCTAAAGTACCTACAAATCACTCTAGAAGAGAAAAGCACAGCATTTAAAATATGCTACTGTCAGAGAGCACTGACGTCAGATGACAACTTTACCAGCAAGGAGTATTTTTCCCTTGAAGTCCCAGAGAGGTGCAGAGCATCATCTAAAGGTGGTAGATAGAGGAAATGGGAGAGACCAAACTTATCTCCCCCATGCCTCTATTTTGGAGTGAGTGTGGACAAATGAGTTTTCCATGAGTTTTAACATTTCAGTACTACAGTGTTCTGGACTTTATATTAATTGAAAGTGACCAGAAAGGCTTTGGGACCTGATAAAATGTCATCCAAGGGCAGTAAAGAACAAGTGGGAAGGAGACATTTGAAATGAGTAGTGGGAGAGAGAGTACAGTATGCTTTGCTTGCACCGTACTGAGTTCAGCTTGCTCAATACACAGGTTACATCTATTTACTTCAACTCTCAGAGTGTGAGATGCAGGATTTGCCAGGGCTTTCTTACTGTGGGAAAAGATTCATAACGTACAATTTATCATTTTAGGTGCTTTTAAGTCTACAGTTTAGTGGCATTAAGAACAATCACAATATTGCGCAAACATCATCACTCTTTATTTACAGATGTTTTGCATCATCCTTAGCTGAAGCTCTGTATCCATTAATCACTGACTCCCCATTCCTTCCTCCCTCATCCCCCTCCAACCTCTATTCTACTTTGTGTCTCCATGAATTTGCCTATTCCAGGTACCTTATGTAAGCAGAATCACAGCATTTGTCCTTTCGTATCTGGTTTGTTTCATTTAGTATGTCTTCAAGGTTCATCCATGTTGCAGTATGTACTTGAATTGCATTCTTTCCTATCAACATTGTGTATACATACCACATTTTGTTTATCCAGTTTGACTCATTTGGGTTATTTCCATCCTTTGGCAATTGTGAATAACAATACCATGAACATAGGCGTACATCCTGTTTTCAATTCTTTGGCTATATATATATACAGGAGCAGAATTGCTGGATCATACAATAATTCTCTGTTTAACATTTTGAGGTACCAACAAACTGTTTCCATAATTGCTGCATCATTTCACATTCCCTCCAGCAGTACATCAGGGTTATAATTTTTCCTCTTCTTTGTCAACACTTGTTATTTTCCATTTTTTGTTTTTGTTTTATTTTTTGAGAATAGCCATCCTAGTAAATATGAAGGGGTATTTCATTGTGGTTTTGATTTGCATTTCCCCAAAGTCTATGAAGTTAAACATCTTTTCATGTGCTTAGTGGCCATTTGCACATCTTTGTGGAAATGTCTATTTATGTCCTTTGCCAATTTTTGAATTGGGTTGTTCTTGTTGTTACAGTTGAGTTGCAGGAGTTCATTATATATTCTGGATATTAATCCCTTGTTAGGTATATGATTTGCCAGTATTTTCTCCCATTTTATGTGTTGTCATTTCACTCTCTTGATAGTGTCCTTTGATGCACAAGCTTTTTATTTTGATGAAATACAATTTATCTATTTTTTTCTTTTATTTCCTATGCCTTTGGTGTGATAGGAAGAACTTGTCATATCCAAGAACTCATTGCCAAAACCAATGTGGTGAAGATTTTTTTCTCTTATGTTTTCTTCTAATATTTCTGTAGTGTTAGCATTTCAGTTTAGCTCTTTGATCATTTTGAGTTAATGTTTTTCTATATGGTATAAGATAAGGTTCTAGCTTCACGCTTTGCAAGTGGATATCCAGTTTTCCCAGCACCGTCTGTTGAAAACCATTGAATGGGGTTGGCATTTTTGTTGAAAATCAACTGACCCTATATGTGAAGGTTTATATCATGACTATTCTATTCCATTGGTCTATAAGTCTGTCTTTATGCCAGTACTGCATTTGCTTTTTAAGTTGTAGTATTTTGCCATCATTCTATCATTACATAATTTCAAAATTGAATAAAAGCATATATCACTGTTGACAGTATAAATCATACTTATGGTAGAATTGCCTGTTTCTTTCTAGTATAATAAATATCCTTAACAGTTAATAGTATTGTAAAAATGACTGTCAAAATTTGTAAGCATTTGACAAATGCCTCCTACTACTTTTTTACCTTCACTGATATTATTCCCCTTCCATAGGCATTGCCCTGGACTCAGATGGAGTGAGTATCTGTTACCTGGATAGAGTAAAAGCCAAAGTTCTTTTTATTAAAACGGCCAAGGCCCTGCATGATCTGGCCAGTCACTGCTCACCCATATCTCTGTGACCTCATTTCTTAATTCTAATTTTGTTCCAGCCACATTGGTTTCCGTCTTTGTTTTTATGCCAACATGCCAAGTAAAATCCCACCCAGTACACGTACCCTGTACATGCAGAACTCTGGTGATCCATAACCACCCTGCACAAAATAACCATTCCCCTCCTTCCCCATATCCTTTCTCTGCTTTGTTTTTCTTTATGGCACATATCAACATCTGACACACTCCATATGTGCTTATTTGATTATTGTCTGCTGTTGCACACAACTGGAGCATAAGCTTTATGAGGGCAAGGACTCAGAAGTGAAGAATGATTGAATGATTTAGAAACCAATATAGTAGTCCTTTATTCATTCAAATAATATTTATTGAGAACTTACTATAGACTAGGCATGATGCTGAAAACACAGTGGACATTAAACATACACAACTTGGTAAATGGTTGCATAAATTTAAAATATAAAATTAAATGAGTTTTTAAATGGGTGGGTTAGTTTCAGAAATGACAAGTCCAGGTTGGAATCTTTAAAGGCATATCAAGGTTTCCAGGGCGGAGCCCTCTGCCTCTCAGCTACTGCTCCATGCACCAGGGTGGACAGGTGACTCACCCTGACGGTAAGATTCTGTGTCTCCAGGGAACTTGGAATGAGGGTTCATTGGAAAGAGGCTAGTTATTCTTACTGGCTTTTTGAACAAAGGTGGGGAAGGATTAATACCCTCATGGAGGGCAATTCCTTTGCACAGACACTAGACGCAGAGCCCAGAACAGCCTTCAAGTCTGGGCAAGACTGGGGTGGTCCTGTGGGACCTTGTTAGGAACTGTGCAGGGACAGTGGCAGGCTTTGTAGAATGTGATCACGTTCACAATCTATATTTGACTTATGCTCTATTTTCATTGCTTCTGGGAAAAGGCCCAGTGGAGAACGTGTGCTGTGCTAAACATAGCACCTGCGTCTGTGTGCCTGCCGGATTTAGGCTGAACGTTGGACGCACAGCCTGGGCAGTCCCCACCGACGAAGGGCGACCACGACCCAAGGGCAGGACGGAAGGGCAGTGTTGGCGGCTTGGAGCCCAGTGTGGGCTCACCCCGGTGCGAGATGGTGTGGAGCTGCCGCCGGGGAGGGAGCCTCCCCGTAAAGTAGGGCGGCGCCCACAGATGTCTGCGAGTGAGGGTCGCCAGACGGAGAGAGGCGGCGGGCAGGGAGAGGTGCCTTGAGTCCGCTGAGGGGAGACGGGGTGATAGGGAAGATGGTGGCAGGGGGAATGAGGTGTGAGGCGCTGTGGGACAAGGGGTGATGGCGAGAGAGGATGGATGGGTGAGAAAGACTCTGAGGAGGGAGGGGCAATGCAGTGGGAGGAAAGACTACGGTCCACTTGCCTCCCTGCAGCCTTATGGTCCCGGCTTGTCCCACAGGTGTCCACGCTAGGGGTACACGCTGGGGCGGGGCTGGAGGGGCCAGAGCGGTGGGGAGGTGGGGGCGGGGTGTGGGGAGGGCACCGAGCGCGCGGCCGCGAAGAGGCGGGGCTCCGAGGGCCCAGCACGGGGGCGGGGCTCCAGGGGCGCGTGCACGGGGGGGGGCGCGGGGCTCCGGGAGCGCGACTGGAGCGCCGAGGGGCGGTCCCCGCGCCCGGTAGAACCGGCTGGCAGCTGTGCCGCGCCCGGTGCAGAGCGCCGGCGCCAGGCCATGTGGTCGGGGAACCGCAGCGGCGGCGCGAGTAGCTGGGACGGCGGCGGGGCGGCGGGCGGCGGGAGCCCGGGGCCGGCGGGACCGCTGAGCCGCGCGCCGCCCTTCAGCCCGGGCACCTACGAGCGCCTGGCGCTGCTGCTGGGCGGCGTGGGGCTGTTGGGCGCCGGCGGCAACTTGCTGGTGCTCATCCTCTACTCCAAGGCGCGGCGGCTCCGCACGCCCACCCACCTCCTCCTGGTCAACATCAGCCTCAGCGACCTGCTGGTGTCCCTCCTCGGGGTCACCTTCGCCTTCGTGTCCTGCCTGCGGAACGGCTGGGTGTGGGACGCTGCGGGCTGCGCGTGGGACGGGTTCAGCAGGAACCTCTTCGGTGAGTTGGGCTGGGGGAAGACAGCGTCCATCCATCTCCCTTGCCTCCCGCGAGCTTGCCTTCCCGCGTTGCCGCCGCCGCGTGCGCCCTTCTGCCCCGCTCACTCCGCGTCCGGCAGCGTCCCCGCCCGCCCCTGCGCCCCGAGCTGTGCTGCCCCGCCCTGGAGCCCCTGCGCCCCAGGCTCCACAGCCCTGCTCCCCGAGCTGCTCTGCCCCGCGCCCCGCTGCGTCCGGCCCGCGCCGAGGCCGCTCCCCACGCGCACCGCAGCCTCCTGTCCCGCCGCCTCTCCAGCCTCTGCCCAGCGCACCCTATTTCTCTGTTTTCACCTAATGTGATTCACCACGGCAGAAACACGGCCTGTACAATTTGAGGGAACATGGGTTGTAGAGAGTCCGACATTCAAGAAAAAAGTAATTTACTTATCAAAGTTGGAAGGATGATAAGAGAGTTAATTCAAACACTATTTGGTTCCTAAAATGACAATAGAAACGTAATAGAGTAGCAGCGTGTAATTTAAAAGAAAATAAACTTCTTGTTTATTGGCAGTGGCAAACCTTTGAATGCTTCCCAGGAAGTGAGATAGTTTGATTCAGGTCCTCAGGATGCAAATTGGCATGTGCCCCATAAGCTACTTTCATTAAGTTTTCCTCCTCATTGTTTCCAACACACTACAGTCTCAGGTAAGATTACAAATAGCCCCGATAATCCCAATTCTCATGAACAAATAATTAGCCTTGTAGCCAGTGGATTTCATGAAGGTAGAGCTTGATTATTCAAGTTTTATTTCAACAGTACTCCTAATCCTTAGGGAAGATTCAAGTCTCACTGAGACCTGACATTTTGAGGGTGATCCACCCAGCCTATCACTGAAGACATGATTTTCTAAGTGAGGGAAAGAAATTCTTTTTGTGTGTGCTCCAGGAGTTTCATTTGTACAAAGATTTGAAATAGAAATGTGTATTTCTCAGGCCTTAAAGTTCGTTTAAAAAAATAATCCTGAAATCCACTGATAATGTGTTACTGCTTTTTCTTAGCAGTTTCCTGAGAACAAAAATCTTTGTAGCATTATCAAAAACGTTCTTATTCACCAACCTACTATGTTGTGACAAATCCAAATATTGGATTTGTTGTGATTCATTTTTTGATATTTGGAAGGATACAAAAGAAGTCATAGAGATCATGATTTGATTTATGTGACTGCCTCAATGTTTCTAACATTTTAAGATTACCTCCCTCCTCAATAAGCATGAATCTGAGAATTTCGGTTGACAAAGATTCGAAACTTGGGAGAGGACTGCAGTTGTTTGTGGGTGGCATCATAGATGGCTGTGTGGTTTTACTCTATATTAACCTAAAATACCTATCAGGCCACTTTTTAGGCGGGGCTAAGCTTTAAAGAGGGTGATTCAAGCTCAAGTCTGAAGTGTTAACCAGTAATGGTCCCCAGAGAGGGCAACAGGTGCTTGGTCACAGATAGGAAAGCTCTTACTTCCAAGAAATTGTTTTTTTTTTCTGTGCTGGGAAATTGTATTTTAACTGTGTTCCCAGGAGTCTGAAAACAATAGTACATTGAGTTCTTTATCAGTATTAGCCTTCCCTCACTTCCTCTGTGACCCTACCCTGCTGTGTCTCCTTGTCTCTAAAACCCTTTTCTCTCCTTTGTCATCCCCCTTGGGTCCCATCCTGTTCAGAAGGGATTCCCTAAGACCTCTAGAAATGTTCCCCTCATACTGTTTTGCTGATGATGACTGTTCTATTTCTCTGGACATTTAGTTAGTGCTTTTAATCATGACTTTATCCCTGTTTTTAAATGAGGTGGGGATTTTGGGATAAAAGATTAAAAGACTAGTGTAAATCCTGGAGATTAGTTTGCAAATGATGATGGAGTTTAAGTTTTTAGCGAAGAACTCTTTTGCTAGGAGTTAATTCCAAGGATTGTGCTTCTACTTAAACATATAGGGAGGGTGCCTTCCCCATTGTTATCCCTGAATGAGAACTAGCCTACCCTGAAGTTTTGAGGGGGAGGAAATTTAAAAAAAAAAGAAAAAAGAAAAACCCTGAAAGTGGCTCCTTGCTCTGGCCGGAAGCCCGGAGAGGCTGCCCTGTCAGTGGGAAGACACCTGGCCTGACGGCTTGAGGGTGGGCCCTGCTTTGCTCATGTGGTGAAGCCATTATGCGGACTTTCCTGTTCACTTCCTCAACCAGACACCAGTTTTCTTGCCTCTGTTATGGGCTAATTGAGGTAAATGTTCTTTAAGGTTGTCCTGTCCAACCGACTTTGCATTTTGAGGACTCCTTCAATATTTGTAGGTGAGTAGGTGCCTGGTTTTAGCACTTATGGCTTGTGTCCGCCCCTCTTACACCCACTCTCAACTCTGTCCCCTTCTAAGCCAAGTATCAGCACATGCTATGGTTACACTTCTTCATATATCATCATATGTTCTTTGCACAGCCTAGAGGAAGGAGGCAAAAAAAGAAATTCATGCATACTTAACATACATACATACATGAGTGCCAAGCAACTGCTTCATTCTGTGCTCAATTCCTGGTTGTTGAGGGTATGTGGAAAACAAGTGGAATCCCGATATTCCTGAGGCAGAGGCTAGGCCTGGATGGGACTGTCACGATCTCCATGTCACGTCAGCGAACCACTCAGTGCCGTGAGCTAGTCAATTTCATCTAAGTTCCAACTGAATGACTTGTTTTACAAATGCTTTTGGCCTAGGCAGGCCCAGGTTGTACTGCTCTAGATTTCAGTAAGTGTGACGGTGGGAAAATCAGAGCTCAGGCTGCTCTCATGGGGCTGTGGTGGTGATGGTAGAAAGGCCCCCCGCACGTGCTGTGTCCCCGCATGTGCTGTGTAGTGCTCAGCGCCAGGCTTTAGGTGAGTGGGCTTTTCACCCTTTGGCTGATCCACCTCTCGCGACACCTAGCGCCACACAAAGGTTCTGCACATGGGATATAACCAGTATTATGCCAGAAGTTAGCAGGAGAGCTTTTCTTTACTACTACCTCCTACCCCTTCAAAAACAAGAACAGACAACGTGTTAATCTTGGCCAAGAATATTTAGACAGATCTTTATCTTGGGTTACAGAGATTGAGGGTTGCAGAGCCAGAGTCTGGCAAAATTCAGGTCACCCTATGTTGTTTTAGAAGAAGTTTTTACTTCTTCTAAAGAAGAAGTTTTAGAAGAAGGTATTACTTATGTTAAGATATTTTAGCATACCCAGGAATTTTACCTTTTTAATTTACACCTAAAACACACACATGTGTATATATACATTCATATAAATATTTGTTGTAAATGCGTTTTCTCTTCAGTAGACCTACTCTTTATGCACCTAAATATTTAAAATGCTGTTGCTTTTCTGAATTAATCCTTTTGCAATACTGTTAACTGTTAATTCAGTTGAAATAACTGGTTAGTTCAGTTTCATGAGAGCTTAAGGATGGTTGCAGCATGGAAAAGTCCTCTCATCAGCTATTCTAGGATCGCCCACAACTGAATTGGCCATAGAAATATTCCTAACTGTGACAGTGTGCACGTGGTGTATAGTCTGTTTCTTTAACCACAGTGGAGCTACACATTTCTTACAGTCTAAGTTGTGCATACGTTTATTCAAATATTTGTTTTCCTAAAAGCAAAAGTCATAGAACTGTATTATGAAAATTTTTAATTGTTTGGAGGGGCTTTTAATCCATTCTTCACAATTGAATTGCATGACTTTGGGGGGGGGGAATCCCTATTGCTCATTTTCAAGAAACTAGAAAATATGTAAGAAAGCATTTAATGACTTGCTTTTAGTAGAGGCTTATGTCCTAATAACAAGTCAGGCTCCAATGGATTATAACTGCTGTCACATTAAATTACTTTTCTCCTAATATTGTTTACGATTGTATTCTTTCTTGAATTTTCTTCTTTCAGAGAAGAGTTCCAGTCACAAATATATATGTGGTGCATTTTGACATATACTGCTAAGATGAAATGCAGAAATGAAAACCACCCATCATTTTTTAGTATTCTTAGATGTTATTAGATGTACTTTTTATGTTTTTATGCTACTGACCTCTAAGAAAAAAAAATATTAGAAAGGGTACCGGTTAAACCGCTAGGACCTGCAACCCTGATACTTTGGGGATGCACTGGAACATCACAAGGAGAGATTTTACTACAGCACAGCACATTCCCACCTCCTCTGAGCCTTCAGCCTAGACTCATACACCATGCCTTCATCTGAAGTTGTCACCAGAGACTTTTGCTCCCAGGATGGCAGACGGTCTCCCCACAGAGTTTGATGTAGTTATACTAGGAACAGGTTTGCCTGAATCCATCCTGGCAGCAGCATGTTCAAGAAGTGGCCAGAGGGTTCTGCATCTTGATTCGAGAAGTTACTATGGAGGAAACTGGGCTAGTTTCAGCTTTTCAGGATTGCTCTCCTGGTTGAGGGAATATCAGCAAAACAGCAACACTGAGGAAGAAAGTACTGCTGCATGGCAAGACCTAATCCAGGACACAGAAGAAGCCATCACTCTTCGCAGAAAGGATAACACCATTCAACACACAGAAGTTTTTTGCTATACCAGTCAGGACGTGGATGACGGCATTGAAGAGACTGATGATCTGCAAAAAAATCCTTCCTCAGTGACATCTACCACCCTCACTCAATGTCTGGATTCTACATACTTGTCTGAAGAAACACACACATTAAATGTCACAAGTTATGAAATGCCTGCCAAAGACACTCCAAAATGTGACAGAAAGATTTCACCAGAAGTAACTGGTGTAGAGGACACCATAGCAAAAGAGAAGTATTGTGGAGATAGCACTGGTCTTTTACACAGTGTCAGACAGAGAGAAAGATGAAAAAAAGCCTATAATGGAAAACAACATGAATCCACCACAGAGAAATAGGATTACTTACTCTCAAATAGTTAAAGAAGGCAAGAGGTTTAATATTGATTTGGTATCAAAGCTGCTGTATTCTCAAGGATTGCTAATTGATCTTTTAATTAAATCAAATGTTAGTCGTTACACAGAATTTAAAAATGTCACCAGGATTCTTGCATTTCGAGAAGGAAGAGTGGAACAAGTACCTTGCTCCAGAGCAGATGTCTTTAATAGCAAAGAACTCACTATGGTTGAAAAGAGGGTGTTAATGAAATTTCTTACATTTTGTTTAAACTATGAACGACATCCGGATGAATACCAAGCTTTCATGCAATGCTCATTTTCAGAGTACTTAAAAACTAAAAAATTAACCCCCAACCTTCAACATTTTGTACTGCACTCATTCGCAATGACAGAGTCATCTTGCACTACAATCGATGGACTCAAAGCAACAAAAAACTTCCTTCAGTGTCTTGGATGATTTGGCAACACTCCCTTTTTATTTCCCTTGTATGGCCAAGGGGAAATTCCCCAGGGTTTCTGCAGGATGTGCGCAGTTCTGGGTGGAATCTATTGCCTTTGCCATAAAGTACAATGCCTTGTAGTTGACAAAGAATCAGGAAGATGTAAAGCCATTATAGATCACCTTGGTCAAAGAATAAACACTAAGTATTTCATTGTGGAGGACAGTTACCTTTCTGAGGAAACATGCTCAAATGTGCAGTACAAGCACATCTCCAGGGCCGTGCTCATCACAGATCAGTCTGTACTAAAGGCAGATTCAGATCAGCAGATTTCTGTTTTGGTAGTGCCTCCCATGGCACCAGGAACATGTGCTGTTCGGGTCACTGAATTATGTTCTTCAACCATGACATGCATGAAAGACACCTATATGGTACATCTGACATGCTCATATTCTAAAACAGCAAGAGAAGACTTAGAATCACTGGTGAAGAAATTATTCACCCCATATGCTGAAACAGAATTAGACAAGGAAGAACTTATAAAGCTAAGGGTCTTATGGGCTCTGTACTTTAATATGAGGGACTCATCGGCCATCAGCAGAAGCTCATATGATGGTTTGCCTTCCAATGTTTATGTCTGCTCTGGGCCTGACTGTGGGCTGGGAAGTGGGCATGCAGTGAAGCAAGCTGAAGCACTCTTCCAGGAGATCTTTCCAAACGAAGAATTCTGGCCCCCACTGCCTAATCCAGAGGACCTCATCTTTGATGCTGATGATAAGCAACCAAGGCTTCTGGAACCAATATTATAATACCAGACAGACTAGAATCTTAATGAGGGAAGAAAACATTTAGAAAGCCCCGGGAAGCACCTTCAAAATTAGAAGAAAAGCAAACTGGAAACACTGCTTTGGGTCTTCATCCTGGCATCAGAATATTCTCATTGAAAGGACAGTTTCCTGTATGAGTTACTACAACTGGTCATATAATGAATGCTATGCAGATGTTATCTTTAATTCTGTTTGAGACATTCGGTCTTTGTGTGTCTTCGTTAATCTATCAGTAACTGATTTATTGCTTATTGGACATTTTTTGTTTCAGAATGGACTTCATGATCCAAGATCTTAAACAAGCTTAGCTTTAATTGAGTGGTGGCTATATATATTTATATATATATATATATATATATGACGGTTCCATATTATCAACTGTGCCTAAAGGAAGTTAATATTGTATCTGCTAATGATCATCAGATTTTATTATTGTCCACAATAACAAGTAGTAATATCTAAGGAATATTTTAATTACTTTTGGAGCTATTACAGTTGCTACCACCTCTAAATAGTGAAACACACACATACAGAATAAATTATGTGGGTCTCTTGTATGTGATAGAAACATACAGACGTGGTGGCAATATGTAATGTCACAGTGGCAATCGCATCTAATGTAAGTTCCAAGTATGATAAAATACCTTTGTCTGTAATTGTTCAGAGATTGACTTTGCATGATCCTTTATTTGTGAAGGTCTGATCTTGCAGTTTGATCCTCCTGCTTGACCCTTGTAACCTATGAGCAGTGACATCACCACCACCTACATTACAAAGCATCAAAGATTTCAGTTAGTGGTTGAAGAGCTCCTCCTTGTGAGGTTCATTCCAAAGAAAATCTAGGAGATAAGATTAGTTCTGGTTTAATACTTCAGAAAACTTCTGCACAGCCTTGCTCTGGCACCTGAAATAACTCAACTTCCAACAATTAACTCAAGCCAAAAGGAAAAATTAATTTCCCCAAGAAAGAATCTTTCAGAGTGGCCATTCTGAAATCCCTAAGGAGACACTGGGCGAGGCAGTTTTAACCTGGGATCAAATAGATTTCCCAAGGTTTCTCAGTGAGTGTGACGTACCACCTGGTGGGCTCTACCCATCATTCCTGATAGGAGTGAGTCAAAGAATTCACCACGTCCCTTCATCTGTGGCTGCCTTACAAAAAGGGAGATCACTGCCTTCACAGTCGCTTCTGCCTCTTGACTATTGACTGGAGGAGAGAAACATTTTTTTTCCCTAGAACTAGAAGTCACTAAAAAAAAAAAAAAGTTGTCCTCTAGTGGTGAGAACCAGTGGAGCTGTCAGAAGAGGTGAACTTCCTTTGAGTCCCCGTTTTCATTCCTCAGAGGCAGAAGGATGATCCTTTAGGAAGAGAGCCCTTGATGGCAGTTTTTGTTCTCAAACAGCCTTTACCATGTGCTTTCACATTATAGCTTCTTAGCAACCCTGTGAGGCAGATATTATTAAGTATAGTTTCAAAGAGGAAATAAAGACTTCATCATTGATGATCTGCTCAGAGTCTGTTACGTGGAAGAGCCAGCATAGGAAGCCAGACGCTGGTCTCTCAGCATTACTGAATGGCAGAGATGTGAAGATCAGCATTAATTAAAAATAAATATACTTTAGAGCTAGCTATGGAGCTCATTGAAGTAAATTTAGCTAAGTTTTAAAAAAATAATGCTTTTTAATAAGTATCTTTTGATCTGAACATCATGTTATAAAAAATACAGAGGTTGCTAGACCAAAATATGCTCTGAATAGTCTTTTTTTTGCTTTTTTATATACTTGGAAAATGAAACAAAGGTTTAAGTAATATATAGCTCACTGAAGGTGGAGAACTCACGAATTGGTATTAATATTTATGTACTTCTTAAATACAGTAAAAAAAAAAGTTTTCATTGGGTAGATCCTAAAGTTTAAACCTATCAAAACAATTTCATTATCTATAAAATAGAAAGACTACTTTGAAGAATTATTGTGAGGATTAGATCTTATAATGTATATTAACTCATTTCCAAAGGAATGCCAAGAGGTGATAGTGTGTAAGACTTAAACACTTCCACTTAACATCCCAACTGATGTTTTATTGGACAGAATTGTGATAAATTATTTGGGAAAATAAGTAAGCACAGATAGATATTTCTTTTAACTTTGGGGAAAAAATTGGAAATCTTGCCCTTCAAATCCTTAAAACATGCTGTTAAGTAACTTTTCTAAATATACTATAATGCTGAATAGAAAGTTTAAGACAAAAACCAAAGAAAGCAAGAAATATATAATAATCATTACAAAGTCATTGGAAAGATGATTGGAAATTATTGGAAAGACTAGCTGGATGTCAGTATGAAAAAAGAAATTAGCTACGTTTCATATGTGATAAGACAATTCATTCGAGATGAATTAAAATGTTATAAAGGTAAAAATTAAAAGACTACAGTTGTCATCTCTATCACGGTGTTGTCTGGTGGCCTCTGCCAAGGGAGGGCTTACCTGGGCACTGCAGTGAGACCTCTCCTTAGAGACTGCCGCAGTTGGGTTCCTGATTCTGATCAAGAAATAATTCATGCCCAAGTGAAGCAGGTGCAAGCAAAGGGTAGTTTATTAAAGTGAAAGTACACACTCAAGGAGGGAGTCAGTGTGTTAGCATGCTGGAGTTCGGGTTGGGTGGTCTTACAGCTGGAGTGTGAACAAGGGATGGTATTTTCTGCAGGTGGGAGGATTAGGGGCTACACCCTCTTAATGCCCTGACATAGTCAGCCTAGAACTTTCATGGCACCATGGGGTGTGATGTTTAATATGTTAATGAGCACAGAATGTACTTGGGGTAACTGGGTTACCTTTCTTCTGCATCTGGAATCTAGCTGGTTTGCTTTTGCTTAAGTTGTTTTGCCATCAGCTATCTACCTAGTGTCTTACTGGTTTGTTTTCCCTTACCCAGCTTGTTTTACTAGCTGCTACATGAACTGGCCTCAGCTACTAATATCTGGAGTTTCTTGACTTGCCTAAGTCCTGACTATCTTGCTGAACTACACTGCCTATGTCAGTGGTACAAAAGGAACATTATGGTAGTGAAAACCATTGTTGACAAGGCAGAGGAGACCAACTAAAAGAAAAAGGAAAAATATATCTTGAACAGGAAGAAGATAGAAGAGATAGAATTTAAAAAATTTATTATTTCCATGCATTACACATGGATAAAGTGCTCAATACTCTTTAAAAAGCAGATGCAAATCCATAAGGCTTTCTATTCTTTACTAAGCAAATTTATGAAAGGGTAGAGTATAAATGAGAAAATACAAGTCAAAGTCAACTCATAGGATGACATTCAGATTTTCTAATATTAAAAATGCAAATTGAAACACCTTTGACCTAGTTCATGCTATTACATTAGCAAAAAGAATTCCAAATTGTATATGTCTTCATATCAGTAGTATTTGTTATTGTAGGTTTTTATAAGAATTATCTCAATGACTTTAACAAGAGCTATATAACCAATCTGTCTTTTGATAGATCTAACTCACTTTGAGTAGGATATGCCCAGGAAAATATTTAAAAGAAAAATAAGCTACTTGTACAGCAATTCTGTTCATATGAGGTTTTTTTTTTTTAAAAAAAGGCCCAGTAGGGAAATGGATAAGTAAATTTTGGTGTATTGCTAGTGCTATCAGACTGTTATGTAAGCATTAAGTAATTTTAGTATATGTAAAACTGGAAGAAATGTTTAAATGAGACTCAAAAGTGTTAGAACAGATTGTTGTTATTTATTAATTATATTTGTGTAAAAATCTAGATCTCTGTGTTGAAGATTCAGAATTAAATGTAATTAATTGGAGTTTGATGAAAAGGGATTCTTTATTTTTGTCTGTAAAATATTGATGTGTGCAATAAAAAATAAAAGATTAATTGGTAAAGTGGTTTACTGAATTGGTGAGAAAATGATTGATTTCTTGGAAACTTCTTAAATTCTCCTTTAAATTAAAAAATACGTATATTTTAAAATACTAAAGTCAAAAGATAATTTCCAAAAATGTGGACAGAAGGTTTTACAACTCTTGGTGGGAAGAAATTCTTGGTTAAGGTGAATTTTGTATCTTTTGTATTTTTTTCTCAGTTGCCAGCATTAAATAAGAAGGTATATTGTGATGATACTTTTTTTTTTAATGGAATGGAAACCTCGGAGCCACAAGTAGAAATTATAGAAATAGCATTAATTAAGAGTATTAATTCCAGGGCGTCAGCATGAAGACATTACATACTAATTAAAGTATGGCCCCCAATCCAAGAACATCCTCTCTATTTATGAGGTTTGGAGGCCAGGGGAATGACTGTTGGATTTGGGTTTGTATGGAGGTGGCCAAGCCCTGGGTCTGCGGAGCATTTCAGGGAGGCCAGGGGACTGAGGATGGTGGCAGACCTTTCCTTCCCATCAGCCTGAGATCCAAAGCAAGCTAATTTAATTCAACAAAAATCAGTTGAACAGCAACTGTGGGTTGTGAAGTGGTATTATTCCAGGGATTACAAAAGAAAAATGAGTAGGACAGGTCCTCTGTACCTGAGAACTGTTCTGTGGGAGGACATACCCATACCTTTTACCTGAAGGAGAGTCTAAGACGTTTCCCACCGTCACTACCAACATCCTCCCCTCAAAAGAAAAGAAAAAAACAAAAGAGAAATCTGCTTTGGGATGCATGGGTGTGCCCAAACCTTTCATCACACAGTTGGAAACACAACTTAAAAGGTGGATCGTTTAATACTTTCTGAAATCTGTTTCAGCCAACTTCAGTTAATAAAGAAGTTTCCAACATGAATCAAAAGCTCCGTGTTAACTGGGAAGGAGGAAGAGAAGGTAGAAGAGACGGGGTCCCAGAAGCCGGAGCGTTGTGTGCTCAGGGTGTGGGAAGTGGAAGCAGTAGGGAAGCTAAATGGGACGAGCAGATCATAAAGGTTCAAGTCCATGAAATGCTGATTATGGTTAGTTTTACGTGCCTTCCTCTTGGCAGAACAAATGGAGGGCTTATGCTATTTTTGCATCGAGGTGCTTCTGTATTTGGAGAACTTCAAATTTTTATTTCAGTGTTTCTACCTTCCTGATGAAGCAGCATTGTTTCCAGTACAGTTGGTAGCCTTTTAACCCACAGTTAAACATACTCACATTTCAACAGCAGGGGGCACAATATGCCCGGCTTTCTGTAAGGCAGGCCCAAGAAGCAGAGTGCTCCAGCTGAAAGTTTTGACTCTAACGTGAATATTGTGCCCATGGTGCAGCTGCTGTGAATCCATCCTTTTCTTATGTGGCCCGCAGGATGACTCTCTAAGGTAAGAAAGGGTGGGTATTTATACCCATTTTATAGATGAGGCTGGGGACAATTTAGTCACTTGCCTGGACTCACTCCTAGTAAGTACTTAGATCCCTGAATTAGAATTGAAATATAACTGTCCCATTTTGCCTCCATCTTAAGAGAGTTGTTTATTGCATCTGTGTTGCATATATAAATCATTGTTTTTAAAGTGGTGGCTTCTAGACTGTTAGTGTTCATTTATTTTACAGAAGTCATCCTATAAGTCAAAATTTGTGCAGTTAAAGTGGGTAGGGAGTTGGCTGGTTAAGCTCACACCGGAAACCACAGCAACTGTGTCTTTATCCTGGTATTCATTTCAAGAGCGTCATTCCCCTAGATGTAGTGTCTTCATTAGTTACTGCTGTTGTCCTGTGACTTTGGCATTTGCTTGTTGCTAAGTATATGTATTTAACTATAGTACACTCTGTGAATAACTAATAGGAATAAAGGGATACACATGATCAGAAGGAAAGGAATGATTTTTGGATTAAGAAGGGCAGGGTTGATCCCGTACAAGAGGAAAATGCAGAACTGCAGTTTGTAGTTCAGTCAGAAGGAGATACATCTTTCAGTATTTTGTAATTTTAAAGAAATAGGAATCCTCAGGGATTTAAGTGGGGGGATGCTGATTCTTTTTATTACAGGTCATAGAATTAAAGCTCCTGAGCACCCCATTTCTGTTCGTTTGAGACTTATTTGTTCCTTTAGTCATCCCTTATATTTAAAAATAACAAGTATTATTAATACAGTTTGGAAAAATTTTATTTTTGCATCACTATAAGTTAACTTCATTATATAAGTTTAATTTATAGTTATTGCACCCATTTCAGTATTTTTATTACCCATTATAAAGAAGAAATTTTGGAGGATGTGCTGCTGAGGAAGAGCAGGGAATCTTGCTTTTAGGCAATTAATATGGTTGTTAATTTCCTACAATGATTTGGTGGAAGTGTTAGAGAGGAATGTCTTCCTGTTGTCTTTGTCAGTCCTGCTTATGGCCACACAACAGTCTTTGTAATGCTGTTGTTGAAACACAACTACCAACCAGGTGTTTATTAAAGGATGCGAACCACACTGGAAATAATTTATCATGAGATTGTAATCTCCTTTAAAAACAAAGTCTGTGCTGTTTACCTCCATATTTCCTACAGCGTCTTGCACTTCACAGGCATCCAAAGAAAGATTGGCTAATCTGAACACCACCTTGCAGTTTCCACACTTTTTTTCTTCCAGGTCACCCCTTTATCTCTATCACCGCCTTTTGGTTCCAAGAGAAACAGAGGACCCCTGGGGCCAATCTCTGGGAAAATGTATCCGAGCCCTAGTCCTGGGTCTTTTCATTAGTAGTACAGATAATTTGTTTCATGGTAAGCCTGTGTGAGCCAATAAAACTACTTACAAAGAGGGAACACTTAAATAATCTCCAAAACATGTCATCTAAGAATTTTGTTAATTATCTCCCACCAAGGCAGTTGTTCCCAATCCATGGTGGCTGTGCTCTTCGGGAGCCCCTTGGCAATGTCTAGTCATTTCTGGCTGTCACAGCTGGGAAGGGGCGCTGCTGGCATCCAGTGGTGGAGGGCAGGGCACTGGTAAACATCCTACAATACACAGGACAGCCCCCCTCCAAGAGTTATCCAGCCCAAAAGTCAGTTGAGGAATTCTACATTGAAGTTTTGAATATTTACAATGAACCTGCCTTCCTGTCTATTACACTGCCCACTTTTACCTTTTTTCCTCAACATCTGACTCCGTTAGTGCTTCATCCTGATGGCCATTGTTGGTAGGAACCTTGTCTTTGAGTCCCCCATGGGGGCCCCCCACACTCCCTTGTGCCTCCCCTCACTAGTCTAGAGTGGCTTCCTTCTGAGGGTTTACAATAACTTAAATTCCAAAATGAAATTCAGAGAATCAGGGAATATTTCTCATCTTGCCCCAATTGTCAGATATACATTAGAGATTTTTTTTAATCATGCATCTCATCCAGAAATAGGATAATTCTACAAAGCAGTTATAGAAATGAGATGGTGATACCTTTGTTGTTTTGTTTTGTTTGGTTTGGTTTTTTTTGGTAATATCCCTTATTGTCATTTTAGATTATAGTCCTTATACATGGCAAACTACCTCAAAATCAATGTAAATATGTTGTAACATACTTTATTTTTTTTTGGAGAAGTGCTAATCACTTCACAGGCTATGGGCAAATTAATCAAATTACGGGCATACAATACTATCCTGTGAGTTTCTGAGAAGCTAATACAAGATTAAATAAACCACCCATAATTGAATTGTACTCACATTTACACTAACTCATGACTCAGCAAGCAATGAGATAAAGCAGTAGCTTGACATTTTATAGATAGGGGTTAACTACAGAAATACCCAATTGTAACAGAATGAGTATTCTGAATGCAGAGAACCTTAACTAGATTCCATCACAAAGTGGAACACAGGGTTCTATACCATGCAGAATTTATTGGGCAGTGTCCCCCATTTCTGTGCTAGACGCTGCGGGTACAGAGAGAATAGTTGCTAACCTTTACTGTCCACTTAGTGTATGCCAAGCACTGCTCTAACGGCTGTTTGTCTTGTTTAATCCTCTCAACAGCCAGCTGGGTAGGTGCTCTTATCACCCTCGTTTTGCAGATGGGGAGAGAGATACTGAGAAGACAGGGAGCTTGGCCCAAATCTCACAGCTGGTAAGTGACAGAACCAGACAGCAAACCCAGGCAGTCAGACTTTGTAACCCTCTTGCAATGGCTGAGGTGCAATGCTGTCTTCCGAGGCGTCAGGGTGAGTCTGAGTAATACATGGCAGGGACTGTTCTGATGTCTTTACACACGTTATCTCAGTTTTAAAATAACCCTGTGAGGTTGGTATACATGTTTCCCTGTGTAGATGAGAAATAAGGTTCAGTAACCTCCCCAAAGTTGTAGGACTGGTAAGTAACGGAACTCCCAGTCCACCTAGGCTGACACTAATGCACAGTTAGCCATCGTGTGGGCCAGGCTCTGGTCAGTTGTAATGAACTTCAGCAAATGCACAGGGAGGTTATTTTGTCTGACTAGGGAAATCTGGGGAAACTTTGCAAAAGATAAGACCTGGGCCCTGAAGGTTGAGAAGGATTTCTATAACTGATGTGAGCACTCGCATCCCACGCAGGGACAAAAAAAACAAATAAAAGCACAGGGGTTTGGGGACACTGCGAAGCTGAAGCCTGACCTGGCGTGAGAGGAGTGGCATGTGGGAGGGGCCAGAGGGTCCCTTGGGCACCACGGGGTCATTTGGGGGTGGGGCGGGGCCTCTGGAGGGTTCTCGCTAGGCTTATGTTTAGGAAGGCTAGCCTGGCGGGAGCGTGGAGGGCGGCCGCGAATGGTGCAGAGGCCTACGAAGAGGAAAACATGATGGGGCCCATGTAGAAAGGAGACCAGATGGAAGGCTATGAAACAGTTTGGCAGGACGTGATGAGGGTCTGACGGGGGCAGCAGTGGTTGGCACAGAGAGGAGGCTGGAGAATGCCGGGGAGATCCGGGCAGCATGACGCATGATCCACAGCACTGTGCCCAAGCCCGTCCACTCGCTGCCCGAGAGGCCCATAAACTGAGAGGGTGCTGGCACAAGGAGAGCGGCTTTATTTAGAAAGCCAGCAGGCCAAGAAGATGTACGCATGTCCTAAAGCACCATCTTAATTCAGGGTTGATTTTGAGCTGCTTTCATGCTAGGGAGAGGGGTGCAGGAGGCAGAGCAGGAGGTGACATACTGCCGCAGCCTTCTGGGCTCCAGCGAGGGTCCAAGCAGAGCTGAGAAACTGCGTATCTTAGCTGAGCTGACTCTCATTAGCCTAGGTCTGGTCACAATGCTCCTATAAATCTTTGATAAGATAATCATTATTTTTGTACCTGTTATCTCCTTGGGGGAGGCTAGCTTCTGGTTAAGGGGCTGTTTGCAGAATCTCAAGCTGTAAGCAAGATTCTTTTTGATGATTAACAAGCCTACGTGCAGGGTTGCAGGTTGAGCAGAACTTTTCCTTTTTTTTTTTTCTTTTGGCCCAAGGTTAAGGCAGCAAAAGAGGCAAATAGTATGGAGGCAGAGAAGCCAAGCTTTTCCCTCTGTTACATTGTTGGGATGTGAGCACTGCACCAAGGACAGGAACCGGGAGGCAGAGAGAAGGAGCTGGGGGTTGGGGGGTACTGCTGGGAACCAAGCACCGTGCTCTGTGGGTTTGACATAGAAGCCCCCACCCTGTATTAGTCCCGGACACAGAAGATTAATTTTCTAGGATTCCTAGGTATACACCCTGTTTTTTCCTTCATGGCTTGTTAAACTTTAAGGATATGAGTCAGAGGTTGCCAGTGCCTTGACTATCAGAGAATCTGTCTGAGACTTAGGCACGGGCCATGGTCCAGGAAATGTCTGTTATAAGCACTCACTCTATTTCGTGTGACCTTGCTCACTGAGTCTGGACCATTGAACCATAAATAAGCTACTCCCTGTGGACATCTAGTGGCGAGAGATGGAAGTGGCTTTGCACCTATTACCAGACTATATTCAAGCTCCAGAGATTGATTTATACCCGTGCATGCTGCCAACTTTCTACCACTTGAAGCAATTTTTCTCTCAATATTCAACTATTCAATAATAATAATACCCTATATATTACCATTTTACTAAATACACTCACATTCTCATTTAATACACACATGCACTCACAAGGAGACAGCATTTTGGTACTATTCCTATTTTCAGGTGAGCAGATAAAGGTTCAGATATGTTAATTAATTTTCCAAAAGTCACGGTAATTGTGTATAGATCTGAAATTAAATGCAGGACTTGAGCCTCAAATATTCCTCTGCTAGAGAGTTTATCCCATTGTTTCATAATTATTTGTTTCATAATTCTTCTTTCTCCTTGTATTGTGAGTGCAGGATGTTGGTTTGTTGATATTTTAAATTATACACAATCATCAAGTTAAATCATGAAGACTTTCTTGACTCAAGCTGATGCATGGAGCTAACAGTTGATTACCTCTTTTCACTTCTGTGCTTTTGAATATACTGTATTCTTGGCCTTTAGGTGTCCTCACCTATGAAAACTGGATAAACTCCCTTTCACTCATCAAGTCAAATATTGCTCTCCCTTAAAACCATCCCCAATATTTCCCTTGGCGGGGAGAAATACCACGTGAACTGCATGCTCTAGCTTCCAGGTACAGCTGTCTTAGTGCTTATCACATTCCAGTAATTACTTGTTTACACATCTGTCTGCACCTCCAGACTGTGAGACCTTTGTCAGCATTTCAGGCTGAGGGAACGGCAATATCATGGCAGCCAGCACTGACTGTAGCTGGCAATTTGAGGCATGGGGTGTGTATCCTGATGTAAGCATTGCAGCACGAATGAGCAGTCCCCATAATCTGCTGATGGGATTAGATTGGACAGATCACTGCCTTCAAAGTGGAGTCTGCATGCTGCGAGCTCTTTTTACATGGCTGCTCTATGAGCATTACACAGACTCTTTCCACCAGCTGTGCAAACACAGCCCTACGAGCCAGTCTCTAAATTCTCCACTCCTGTTGCATTCTTTCCTAGAACTCAGCTGCCTGCCCTCCAGGGACCTCTTTCTCAGTCACCCTTCTCTCATGTCACACAGGAAGGCAGACTCAGCCTTCCCAAATAAATCCTATTGTGGAGAATTACTGTGGGAGAGGTGGAAGGACATTCCGGTACGGCAAACAAAGGGACAATTGACAACATTGAGGAAGATGGTAAGGAAGTGAACAGGCACTCAAATGGTTCCGATTATTTGCTTTGAACAAAATTGAAATGTTGGTTGGTAGATCATTGAGAATGTTTTGATAATAAACACTGAGTTTTGGCATATGTGTTACAAGTTATTGACTACAAAGGGAATGTTCTTACATTCAGTACAGATAGAAATAATGAAATGCCTCCCATTGCATCTGGAATATATATGTGATCAAGAAACCTCTCTGACTTTATAAACAGGACATGTAGGAGGAGAATTTATCATTTTCACAAAGGGCCCTTTCCTGACTCCCGCCATATACCACATCAGAACTGTAGCCATTACACCCTGGAGAGTCTTACAACATTTACACATCTGTAGTCCCTCCAGACACGTGGTTCTGTGTTTCCCTCATCACTGAAGCTCCTGTGTCTCTGCAGTGACCAGCACACAGTAGGCACTCAATAGGACCCTGTGGAGTGAATAAATTACTCTCTGAGAGAGGCAGAGAGATAAATCAGTGCTGTTAAAGTGTATCTGTTGCACAATAGAGGTACGAATGCAGACTGTGGGAGCACTGAGGACCTGACTCCTCTGTCAGCAAGCATGAATGCGAGCACGTCATGGTGCCATCTGCTAGCAGGTAGGTCAGGGCAGTCCCTGCCTCCTGCTGCTGTAACTTCAGGGTCAGTCACACATGTGAAACCCACTTTGACTTAATCTTGGATGGCTGAGCCAGACACAGCTGAGAGAAGGAGAACTCACAGAGGCACTGGTGGGGTGGCGCCCCAACTCGTCCCAGGGTCCCTCTTTGGCAGAAAGGTTAACACCATAGCCACATCACCAGTGGGACTGGTTTCAGACTTCCACTTTTGTGCTGTCACAATCCATGTTCCAGTCTGCGTTTTCTTTCACGGTAAGTATGTTTACCATGAAATTTCCTGGGCACTGTGAGGCGGAATCCTTCCAGATACTTTAGAGCGCCTTTAGAGCGCTCCGTTGGGTCCAGTTGCTCTGTAGGCATCTCCAGTGGAGACGCTGGTACTGTCTCTGGCGCGCCTGTCTGCTGGGTGCCCTGCTACACTGTCCCACTTTCTATTCTTGCAGGCATTGTCTCCATTGCCACCCTAACTGTGCTGGCCTATGAACGCTATGTCCGCGTGGTCCGTGCCCGAGCGGTCAGTTTTCCCTGGGCCTGGCGGGCCGTTACCTACATCTGGCTGTACTCCTTGGCGTGGTCAGGGGCGCCTCTCCTGGGCTGGAACAGGTACATCCTGGACATACATGGACTAGGCTGCGCTGTGGACTGGAAATCCAAGGACGCCAACGATGCCTCCTTTGTGCTTTTCTTACTTCTTGGCTGCCTGGTGGCACCTGTGGGCGTCATGGCGCATTGCTATGGCCATATTCTGTATTCTGTTCGAAGGGTGAGTTGGAGACTGCAAATGCCCCTGCCCCAGACCATGTCCAGGGTAGAAAATTAATGTGGAAGAGATTCAAACCCTTCCTATGTGGTGAGTCGTTGGCCACAGCTGGAACAGCTCTAGGGGACTTCCCCTTTGATAAACTTTTGTCCTGCGAGTCACCCTCTGAAAACATGAATGAGGAATAACATTCACTCTCTACTTTCTAGAAAGAAAGAAAGGGGTCTAGACAGATACAATCAGCAACAGAAAGCACCTGCATTCTCCAGCACTCTTAGAATTTAAGAACTCAAAGGGAATTCCACACTTACCATAACTTTATTCACTTAAGGGTCACATAAACCACTGGAGAGCCAGTACAGATATTTTGCCTCGAAATCACTTTAGAGTTGCAGAGACCAGAGTTACCCAAGCAGGTTTCCTGTTGGCTGTGGGCAGGAAGGCTTCTGGGGTGGCAGGTCTGGGCCTGGCCCGCCCGGGCTCCCTCGCTGCTCCCACCATCTCCTGCCTTCTTCCAGCAGAGCTGGCAGCTCTCTAGCTTTCATTTCACCTGTTAATTTTTTTAAATCAAACTTGACCTCATGCATCCCTTTAAGTCATGACCCATTGCACGAAATTCTCATGTTTTAAGTGCTTTCAGGCTCATCTGTTTTGTTAAAAACAACAACAAAAACCCATATCAGTCCAGCCCTCTGTTTTCTCCATGCCTGTAGGCAACTGCAAGAGGCGCTGGAGAAAAGGCCCACCTTCCTGGGGTCCATTCCCGACGTCCTGCGTCTGGTGATCCCTGAGTCCCTAGATGTTCCATTCTCTCTAATCAGTTACCTCTATCAATCCTCGCCTTTCATTTTAATCTCTACCCTACTCTCCCCCTTCATTTTTATCAAACAATCATGCTTATTTATGGGGCAAAATAAGGTCATTATCAAGAAATTCATCAACTCTGCCTCCCTGTGTGGGCCTCCATGCTCACACTCAACCTTAGAACCCCCTTAGTTACAAAGTAAGGGGGGGCTATCAGGGACCAGCTGCTCCCCAATTCTGGTTTTCCCCAAGACCCCACTCCCTGCCCCTGGGGGTCTCAGCCTCAGTCTTACATGGTCAATCTCTCCCCTCCTGCTGGCTCCTAGCGTAGAACATGCTGATTTAAGACCACATCTGTTCTCCATTCCTGTTAGCGCATTCTCGCTGCCAGCTGGGGAACCACTGGTGGCTTTTAGTGTTACGTCATTGCTCAGCATTTATCTGAGTGGCATTTACTGGGCATCTAAAATGTACCAATTACTTACCATTAGAGACTGAACATTTATGTCCCCCCCTCCCACCAAATTCATATGTGGAAGCCTCCCCCCAGTGGTTCGTATTGGAGACGGAGCCTGTAGGAGGTGATGAGGGCTAGGTGGTGAGGGACCTCAGGATGGGAATGCCGTCCAGAAGTGGAGGAGGCCGGGGTACATGCTTTCTCCCCCTCCTCTCCTCCGTCTGTCCCCTCCTTCCTCCCTCCCTCTCTCTTTCTCTCCCTCCATCCTGTGAGAACTCAGAGAGAAGGCAGCCATCTCCAAGCTGAGGAAAGGCCTCAGAATGAAACCTTGCTGGTGCCTTGATCTTAGACTCTGAGCCTCCAGTTCTGTGAGAAAGAAATTTCTGTTGTTTAAGGACCCAAGCCTGTGGTAGTTTGTTATGGAAGCCTGAGCTGACTCGGACATTTTCTAAGCTCTGAGGCTACAGCAGTGTAGACAGAGCACCTGCCTCAAGGAGTCTGTAGCTTAGTAAATTCACTCAGCGTTTATCCCTCCACCCATTCTGTATTGGTGCATCCCTCCTCGATGCCTCATGGAAAAGGTCACTGATGACCTCTCGGTATTAGATCCAATGGACATGTTTCTGTCCTCTGTTTTCTGGCACTGAGACTGTGGCATTATGGACAGCTTCTGCTTTGTGGGGATTCCTCCTCCCACGTGTCTGGGGTCTGTTCCCTCCTGCCTTTATTGCGGCCTCGGTGGCCCATCCCCTTAGGTCTCTTGCAAGGGATCTTCTCCTTGGGCCTCTGGCGTTCTGTGCCTGCCTCTCATCTCATCCTGCCCACTAGCTGAGGATGGATCTCATGCTCTGCCAGGATTCCTCCTTTGAAATATCTGTTTCTGTTCCAGGCTGCTCTGCTGCCCTCTCTAAGGTCGCCACAGTCAGCTGCCTGTGGGACACCTGCACCTTGGTGGCCTGCACACTTGTTAAACTCACCACGTGTGAAACTGCATTGGTTGTCTTTCCCCAAATCTGCTTCCTGTTGCTCCCCTTTCTCAGTGAGTGGTCATCATTCCTAGCTACCCAAGCCAGAAGTTAGGGCATAATCTTGGACTATTCCACATCCATGTCTCCTCCAGCACCCACCCAACTTCCAATTTATCTCTTCAGCCTCAGATAGTTTTCCAGGTGTCTGAATTTCTCCTCTCCCACTGCCAGACTCCATTCAAAGGGCCTTAGCTTTCCTCCCTCATTCTTGCGTTCTGCTCATGGCTTTTCTCCACCCTGCCACCAAAGTAATTGTTCTCAGATGCAGATTTCCTTGTGTCACTGCCCAGCTTACAACCTTTAGGGACTCCTTTGCCTTTGTGATTGAAAACCAAGCCCTGTGTGTGACCATCAGGTCCCATGTATCCATCTCTTATCTGCCTGTCCAGCCTTGTTTCTTGACACACCTTCCCCGGTGATCTTCCAGATATTAGATCCAATGGGCACATTTCTCTCTTCCTTTTTCTGGCACTGAGACTGTGGCACCTCAGGCTGCAGCCCGCTACCTACCACATTTTTCATTCCCACAGCTTGACAGTGGTTCTTCTCCCTCTTTGCCTGCTCACACTGCCTTTCCCCAGAACACCTTGCGCCTCCTTATCTGGCCAACTCCTGCTCACCTCAGAAGGCTGAGCACAAGGTCTCCTGGCTTTTACCCACCTCTGATCATTACCAATGCCGCACATTCCCATACCCCTAGCACCTCCCTCACCCACTTGTCTGTGCACCAGTCACCCTTACCAAACAGAGAATTCCTCAAGAGCAGAGGCCCAGTCTCATTTGTCACCCACAGCTGGAACTTACATGCACACAGTGGTCAGAGACAATTTTTTGGAATGAGTTATAGGCAGAGGGTGGAGGAAGGTGAAGGGATGAAAGTGGGTGAGATCTGACCATAGACTGTGCAACAAGCACACACAGAGCCTGGTGCCTGCAGTCCCCTCCCCTTTCTTGTGCAGAGGGGTGACTCCCACAGTAGTGGGGACTTGAGAATGAGGACTCATGGGGATGCCCATACAACCTGCAGACGTCTGGATCTAGGCAGCCATTGTTTACCCAGGCAGAGAACACTGTTGGAAGGAATTCTGGGGAGTCTGTCTTAATGTGGTTCATCCTGTAGAAAAAATTTGGCTGTGCATGTGCTTTGGCTTCATCCACAATTTTGAGAAATATCCTCAAATGAGTGAATAAAGGAGTGAAGCACACACAGCGCTTTTTATTTGGAAAACTTTGAACAGGCAGAGGGAAGGAGCAGAGGCTGATGAAACAAAGAGGCCGAAAGGAAACCTGTGGAAACAGTCATGGAAATGTCACCAAACTGAATACTCGAAAACACCAGTCAGGGCGTCCTCACACGAGAGAACGTTGGGGACAGGTGGGCCAGTGTTATCTCATGTCAGCCTCTGCCACACGCAAGTGGCTCCAAGATGACACCCACATGCCTGCTGGACAAGAGCTGACATGGGATGAGGATCAACTCACCTAGAAAATGGTGCAGGGCAGACTGCGGCCCAGGGGCCTGGGGTCTTGGGCAGCAGATCTTTGAGAGGTGGTTATGTTCCTGGTTAACTGAAACTCTAAGGAGCCAAAAATCAAGGTTCCAAAGATCTTACAGTGTAATGAAAATATATGTGCTTTTCAGTGTGTTGGTTTCAAATAATGATTCAAATATAAGTAAATATTTAATCTCAAAAACAATCCCATGAAGTCACATGTGTGGAACTGGGACCCAGTTCCTATGAACTCTTAATAGGTCATTCATTTCAACCTCCTTTAATCTTTCCTCTTAGAGGACGTAACTTAGTTGCTCAATATCACACAGGAAGCAAAAGTGGCAGAACTGGGACATGAACCCAGATCTTCCATTGCAAGCCTAAGGCTTTCACTGGAACACTACAACCTCCCTAAAAACTCCAGGGAAAAACTCCCACCCCCCAAAAATGCTGTTTTGACAATAGAATAATATCTTAACACATTAAATAAAAGTTTCTTTTTAAATAGAATTGCACACACAGATAATAGTCCCATTTCCACACATTTCATCTACTCTAAAAAAAATCAACCATTCTAATTTCATTTTTATCAAACAATCATGCTTATTTATGGGGCAAAATAAGGTCATTATCAAGAAATTCATCAACTCTGCCTCCCTGTGTGGGCCTCCATGCTCACACTCAACCTTAGAATCCCCTTAGTTACAAAGTAAGGCCAGCTGCTCCCCAATTCTGGTTTTCCCCAAGACCCCACTCCCTGCCCCTGGGGTCTCAGCCTCAGTCTTACATAGTCAATCTCTCCCCTCCTGCTGGCTCCTAGCGTAGAACATGCTGATTTAAGACCACATCTGTTCTCCATTCCTGTTAGCGCATTCTTGCTGCCAGCTGGGGAACCACTGGTGGCTTTTAGTGTTACATCATTGCTCAGCATTTATCTGAGTGGCATTTACTGGGCATCTACAATGTACCAATTACTTACCATTAGAGACTGAACATTTATGTCCCCCCCTCCCACCAAATTCATATGTGGAAGCCTCCCCCCAGTGGTTCGTATTGGAGACGGAGCCTGTAGGAGGTGATGAGGGCTAGGTGGTGAGGGACCTCAGGATGGGACTGCCGTCCAGAAGTGGAGGAGGCCGGGGTACATGCTTTCTCCCCCTCCTCTCCTCCGTCTGTCCCCTCCTTCCTCCCTCCCTCTCTCTTTCTCTCCCTCCATCCTGTGAGAACTCAGAGAGAAGGCAGCCATCTCCAAGCTGAGGAAAGGCCTCAGAATGAAACCTTGCTGGTGCCTTGATCTTAGACTCTGAGCCTCCAGTTCTGTGAGAAATAAATTTCTGTTGTTTAAGGACCCAAGCCTGTGGTAGTTTGTTATGGAAGCCTGAGCTGACTCGGACATTTTCTAAGCTCTGAGGCTACAGCAGTGTAGACAGAGCACCTGCCTCAAGGAGTCTGTAGCTTAGTAAATTCACTCAGCGTTTATCCCTCCACCCATTCTGTATTGGTGCATCCCTCCTCGATGCCTCATGGAAAAGGTCACTGATGACCTCTCGGTATTAGATCCAATGGACATGTTTCTGTCCTCTGTTTTCTGGCACTGAGACTGTGGCATTATGGACAGCTTCTGCTTTGTGGGGATTCCTCCTCCCACGTGTCTGGGGCCTGTTCCCTCCTGCCTTTATTGCGGCCTCGGTGGCCCATCCCCTTAGGTCTCTTGCAAGGGATCTTCTCCTTGGGCCTCTGGCGTTCTGTGCCTGCCTCTCATCTCATCCTGCCCACTAGCTGAGGATGGATCTCATGCTCTGCCAGGATTCCTCCTTTGAAATATCTGTTTCTGTTCCAGGCTGCTCTGCTGCCCTCTCTAAGGTCGCCACAGTCAGCTGCCTGTGGGACACCTGCACCTTGGTGGCCTGCACACTTGTTAAACTCACCACGTGTGAAACTGCATTGGTTGTCTTTCCCCAAATCTGCTTCCTGTTGCTCCCCTTTCTCAGTGAGTGGTCATCATTCCTAGCTACCCAAGTCAGAAGTTAGGGCATAATCTCGGACTATTCCGCATCCGTGTCTCCTCCAGCACCCACCCAACTTCCAATTTATCTCTTCAGCCTCAGATAGTTTTCCAGGTGTCTGAATTTCTCCTCTCCCACTGCCAGACTCCATTCAAAGGGCCTTAGCTTTCCTCCCTCATTCTTGCTTTCTGCTCATGGCTTTTCTTCACCCTGCCACCAAAGTAATTGTTCTCAGATGCAGATTTCCTTGTGTCACTGCCCAGCTTACAACCTTTAGGGACTCCTTTGCCTTTGTGATTGAAAACCAAGCCCTGTGTGTGACCCTCAGGTCCCATGTATCCATCTCTTATCTGCCTGTCCAGCCTTGTTTCTTGACACACCTTCCCCGGTGATCTTCCAGATATTAGATCCAATGGGCACATTTCTCTCTTCCTTTTTCTGGCACTGAGACTGTGGCACCTCAGGCTGCAGCCCGCTACCTACCACATTTTTCATTCCCACAGCTTGACAGTGGTTCTTCTCCCTCTTTGCCTGCTCACACTGCCTTTCCCCAGAACACCTTGCGCCTCCTTATCTGGCCAACTCCTGCTCACCTCAGAAGGCTGAGCACAAGGTCTCCTGGCTTTTACCCACCTCTGATCATTACCAATGCCGCACATTCCCATACCCCTAGCACCTCCCTCACCCACTTGTCTGTGCACCAGTCACCCTTACCAAACAGAGAATTCCTCAAGAGCAGAGGCCCAGTCTCATTTGTCACCCACAGCTGGAACATACATGCACACAATGGTCAGAGACAATTTTTTGGAATGAGTTATAGGCAGAGGGTGGAGGAAGGTGAAGGGATGAAAGTGGGTGAGATCTGACCATAGACTGTGCAACAAGCACACACAGAGCCTGGTGCCTGCAGTCCCCTCCCCTTTCTTGTGCAGAGGGGTGACTCCCACAGTAGTGGGGACTTGAGAATGAGGACTCATGGGGATGCCCATACAACCTGCAGACGTCTGGATCTAGGCAGCCATTGTTTACCCAGGCAGAGGACACTGTTGGAAGGAATTCTGGGGAGTCTGTAGAAAAAATTTGGCTGTGCACGTGCTTTTGCTTCATCCACAATTTTGAAAAATATCCTCAAATGAGTGAATAAAGGAGTGAAGCACACACAGCGCTTTTTATTTGGAAAACTGAACAGGCAGAGGGAAGGAGCAGAGGCTGATGAAACAAAGAGGCCGAATGGAAACCTGTGGAAACAGTCATGGAAATGTCACCAAACTGAATACTCGAAAACACCAGTCAGGGTGTCCTCACACGAGAGAACGTTGGGGACAGGTGGGCCAGTGTTATCTCATGTCAGCCTCTGCCACACGCAAGTGGCTCCAAGATGACACCCACGTGCCTGCTGGACAAGAGCTGACATGGGATGAGGATCAACTCACCTAGAAAATGGTGCAGGGCAGACTGCGGCCCAGGGGCCTGGGGTCTTGGGCAGCAGATCTTTGAGAGGTGGTTATGTTCCTGGTTAACTGAAACTCTAAGGAGCCAAAAATCAAGGTTCCAAAGATCTTACAGTGTAATGAAAATATATGTGCTTTTCAGTGTGTTGGTTTCAAATAATGATTCAAATATAAGTAAATATTTAATCTCAAAAACAATCCCATGAAGTCACATGTGTGGAACTGGGACCCAGTTCCTATGAACTCTTAATAGGTCATTCATTTCAACCTCCTTTAATCTTTCCTCTTAGAGGACGTAACTTAGTTGCTCAATATCACACAGGAAGCAAAAGTGGCAGAACTGGGACATGAACCCAGATCTTCCATTGCAAGCCTAAGGCTTTCACTGGAACACTACAACCTCCCTAAAAACTCCAGGGAAAAACTCCCACCCCCCAAAAATGCTGTTTTGACAATAGAATAATATCTTAACACATTAAATAAAAGTTTCTTTTTAAATAGAATTGCACACACAGATAATAGTCCCATTTCCACACATTTCATCTACTCTAAAAAAAATCAACCATTCTAATTACCCATACTTTTTCCAGTTCTTTGTCAATATGCATACATGACCCTAATAAAAACATAGCTTCTTAAATATAACTTTAAATGATAATCAATAATTAGATATATCACTTCAAATATTTTTAAATACTAGGAGAACATTTCCTAACTGATTTATTTGCAATTTTTTCCTTAATTTTTATGATAATGCTAGAAATAAAAGGAACATTTAGAGTTTATTGAAATGCAATCAATTTCTCAGTTTAAAATTATAGACTAAGTATAAACAATATGCCAGATACCTTTTTTTTGTAAATCAACATATGGAACATTTATATTTTGTAGCAACATTAGCTCTTTAGGCTGGTCAGAAATAACCACTGTATCTAAAAACTCACTTTTGGTGTATAGGAATATTTTCCCCCTCACCTTAATAATGCATTTGTAATAATAATAGGAAGAATGTCTAAAGAACCTTTTATCTGAGAGACCCAAATTGCTTTGGGATGGTAGGCCACTGTTCCTCCATACCTTTGGTGGGACCAGCTAGGAGGAGAGGTGCTGATGGAGGAGGGACTGGGTAACTGAGTTTTACCAAGTGCTCTTCTTCCAGCTACAAACAGATTCCTCATCAAAGCCCACTGTGTAGTCTGGAGCTGCAAAGTGGAAGTCCAGGTAGCTTCTAGCAAGGATTCACTTGGAAATTAAGTTCTCATCGAGACCAGCTGCAGGCTTAACCACGCAGAACCCCTGACATCAGACATACAGCTGCTGGGTTTGCTAATTTCAGGATGAATGCTCTGGATAAAAGAGTGTCCAGAATCATGGAGAGACTATTTCCAGTTTATCATGACTTTTGCAGGCTGACTTTGAAGATCTAGGCAAAATAATTAGAAAACATTAAAAACCAGGAAAGGGTCTATGAGGCTGTGTTAAGGCTGAGGAGGCCGGGTCCCAGAAGCCGAGGGGTGGGACTGTGCAACCGCTCCTGCTCAGTTCTCTTGCCTATGGAGGGGAGGGGGCAAGAATGTTATCAGAATGTCTACTATTAAAACAACAAAAGAACATGATTCTTTCATTTTCCTCTCCTTTCTGCAGCTTCGTTGTGTTGAGGATCTTCAGACAATTCAAGTGATCAAGATTTTAAAATATGAAAAAAAAGTGGCCAAAATGTGCTTTTTAATGATATTCACCTTTCTGACCTTTTGGATGCCTTATATTGTGACTTGTTTTTTGGTGGTTAATGGTTATGGACACCTGGTCACTCCAACAGTATCTGTGATTTCCTATCTATTTGCTAAATCAAGTAGTGTATATAATCCGGTTATTTATTTCTTCATGATCAGAAAGGTAAGCTTTGTAATTAACTGATTGTTTTCACCATGTGGGTGGGGTTGGTGAAAAATGTGCTTTAATAGAGATTATTCAGAGCAGCTTCAAAGATAAAACCATAAATCAAGAATTTTACAGGAAAGTAAAGGGTTCAGGAAGAAATGAAGGACACTCTCAAGGAAAATAATAACAATTCTGAGATCTACCAATGGAGGTTCACACTTCATTAAAATTAATATTTATTTCATCAGAAAGCATTTTATATCTAGTAATAATAGCCAAAATCAAAGTTAATTCATTTAAAATTCTTACTCTTCTATGCAGGTTAAATCCATGTTGTCTTTTTAAACACCATGAAATAGGCACTAATATTATTGCTTATTTTATTTATGGATTATGAAATAGGTTCAGAGAAGTAACATAACTTGCCTGATCCAGGAATTGTTGGTGCCTGGATTTGAACCTGATTTGCATAACTCCTCACCTGGGTTTATAAATTCTGGTAGCATATGGTCTGGTTATTATTCACATGCCACAGCCAATATGTAGCTAAAATTAATTTGACTCGAGTATTCCTCAAGATCCATTGGGAATCTTATTATCTGTTTCTGTAGTAGAAAGATATGACTTGATGGCTGTCAGTCATGACTAGGAGAGCCCTCATTATGATTGACATGAGGCAGAGCCTCTAAGTTACAAAGCTTAAAGGTCTGAGAATTTAAAAGTTATGAATAATGGTTAATTACTCCATTGGAATTTTTAAGTAATAGGTCATATTAAAAACAGGCAACTATGACTGTTCCGACTTCCAATGCTGAGGAGTTTGGAAGAAGAGGGTACTTTTCTATTAACCTTGCAATGTTCATGGCTAAATGTCCCTCTTTCTGCTGTGACTTTCCTTTTTCTTGAATGCTGCGGGACTATCCCTCCGCCGGCTTACTCTCACGTGGCTTCCATCTCCTTGCGCTGATAGCTTTCTCTCCCTTTCATATGTCCTTCCATCTATCTATTTCCTTAAACTCAGAGATTTTAAACTTGGAGTTCTTAGAATCTGAGAATTACTTGAATTGGCTTCAGGAGAGCCATTGGAACCCCTGAAATTGGACATAAAACTTTTTGAGAATATGAATATGTGACTTTTTCTAGTAGGATAGATTATAACTTTGATTTTCCAAAGCAGTGTAAGACCTCCATGTTTTAAGAACTACCACTTCAACAAACAGTTACATTTTAAATATGCTACCTAATACTTATTTTTAGTATCCTTTCCCTGGGTCAATGGACTATAAACTCGTGCTTTTGAAACTTTAATGTACACCTACCACACCTGGAGATCTTATTTTTTTAAAAACGTGCATATTCTGATTCAGTGTGTCTGGGTGCCCAAGATTCTAAGAAGCATTTCTAACAAACAGAAACAAACAAATAAATAAAACAGCAATCTTCATCCACAAGGAAGTTACCATTTATACAGGAAAACATTTTTTGGCATACACACTCTATCCCTTATAATAATGTATGTTTAGCACTTAACCTGATAAAGCAAACAATAGTTTAATGAATAAATAAAATCTTGAACAAATAAGTATTTTTAAATGTGAGTAAAAACTACATGCTAACTTGTATATAAATGGGGTTTAAAGAAAACAGAAGTCAATGTAGCTGGTTATTATATTTCTCATTGATCCTTCCTTATCTGGGAAAGCCCACATATTAAACTTTGATTTTGCTCTAACAATGATAATACAAATTAAGTAACTGTTTATGTATCTGTTTTATTGGCCATTGTAGAATGACTATTTTAATAACCAACCAACATTTCAGTTCATTAACAAGAAAAAGGTTTCATTTATTTAGATCAGGGTCCACAGTCTATTTGGTGGAAGAGGCAAGGATGTTTCTTATAGGCCTTAAGGAATCTAGGTCCCTTCATGTTGTGATATTGCCATCTTCAGACTTGACCTGCATGGTCTGGTTGAAGTAGAAAAGCAGGAAGGAGCCCCTGAGGGGGCTGGAGATATGGTTCAGTTTTGAGCCAGGATGGAAAAGGATCCTGGGTTCCAGGGAGCATTCACTCTCTCTGCTATGGCACTTTTTTCCAAAATGATTCATAATCTTAATAGGAAAAAAAAATCATTGCCTAATGAAAGGCACATTAGTGAGTACACCAGACTCTAAACTGCCAGGTAGCATCTGGCCTGTCCTTGCTGCTAATAGGGCTCCCACACCGTGGCTGTCACCTGGTAGGTACTCACACTCTACTTATGAAATGAGTTAACACTCAAAAACCCCTTAAAGAAGAAGACTTACCCACCCTCATAGATGGTACATGCACTTGAATCTATGGAGTTTATAAGGTATTGAAATTGTTCTATATGGTTTAAGAAGCATAAAACTCCAGGGTTACTTAGGTAGATCTGAGCATTGCCACCTAACTCTACACCCACATCGACTAAGAAATAAAAAACAATGACCCAAATTAAACTCGACTGATTTTCTTGCATGTTCATCCACATTAAGAGCCAAACTTTTAATTAACGTTCAACTTAATTTTCTCCCTGCCCAGTTTCGAAGGTCCCTTTTGCAGCTGCTGTGTTTCCGGCTGCTGAGGTGCCAGAGGCCTGTAGAAGACCCACCAGCTGGGAGTGAAATGCGGACCAGGCCCATTGTGGTATCACAGAAAGACGGGGACAGGCCAAAGAAAAAAGTGACTTTCAACTCTTCTTCTATCATTTTTATCATCACCACTGATGAATCACTCTCTGCCGAGGACAGTGACAAAACCAGGGGGTCAAAGATTGATGTAATCCAAGTTCGTCCTTTATAAGAATGAATAGTGGTAGTGAAAGATGAGCCTTATGTTGGACACCAATTTTAGATTTCTGATATATGGAATCTGGGAATCCATTCTATGTAATAGCAACAGGGCTTTTGTAGCCAGCAGGAAATTGTAATTGCCCCCATGCTTGCCGGCCCCCGGGAGCAGTTGAACAAGACAAATTCTTTTCATTCGATGGGTGCTTTTACACAATGAAAACCCTCTCGTGGCACAAGATGGGCACCTGGCACCACCAACTTCCCACATGTTGGAAATTTTTATTTCAAGTATCTTTTCGGAATGACAGTATTTTCCAAGACACATAACACATTTTTCTCAAAAATACTGACCTGAAAAAATACCTTTGTCTCACATGTGTGCAAAATAGCTGGAAAACTTTGAAGGTTTTTATAGTGTTGGGTCCTGTTCAGTGTCCTGTCCTGTATTTGACCCAGTCAAGTTTGTCAGAGACAATTCTAGAATAAAGAAGAAAATCATCCCCTTCACTTTATCTGAAATAAAAGACTATTGTATGTGTGCAATATGGTAAGAGGAGCTTCAGACGAATGTGCTGCTGGGCCAGTCTCTAGCAGGTAAAGAAAACAGGATGGCAAATTTCAAGGAAATGATGGGGTATGGGTAATCACACCCAAGTAGAGGATGTACGTGGAGAAGATGGTGTCGATGGCAACTTCATCTACTTCATTTCAAATATAACATGGCAGGATTATCCTCTCCTTTTAGTAATTTCCCACAATTTTGTCAAGAGTTCTAGATTTAGAAAAGAATTCCAAGCAATGAACTGAACAAACCTACATTTGAAGGGGTGTAAAAATTAGTGCAGAATTGTACTCATCAAATGTATTATTTAATCTTTATCCCCCTTCCATAATCCATTGGATAATTGGTAGTGTTAGTGAAGAGGCCAGTTTTCCATGAGTCATTTCCACGAGTTTAGACTAAATTCAGATTATGAGAACTCAAGGATTTCTTTGACAATATACAAAAAAACCAGTGAATCATTTTTTTAATTAGATGACTGTCCTGCTAATGTTGCATCTTCACAATTAATCATGTTTGAAAGACTTGTAAACAATTTGATCAGCCTATTGAAGAAAGAAGAACCAAACAAAACATTTTCACTAAATAAACTTAAAAAACCAAGTTATTGCTCATTCTGTTATACAGCATGGGATTCAAGGATAAGTTAGTAAATTGCTTTTGAGAGTCTGAAATGGACTAAAATATGGCTTCATGTGTCCCTGAAAATTGTTTCTCCTTGTTTCTTTTCCACAGTCTTGTATATAGAGCTATTTCATTGATAAATAAAACGCTTCCTATCCTTCACTTCTAGGACATTAATACCATTTTTTAATCTGCAAAAGGTAACACTGGCACTTGAAGCCTGGGAGATAGAATCAGTTCATTTTTTAACTCTAGAATTCCCCTAAACTCCCCATTTACTCTTCCAGTTTTGTCAAGTGAATCTGAGTCCTGTGCTTAGCTGAATTCCATCCAGGTGATGAAATATGCAGTTAACAAGTTAGGCAAATTGTAATGTTTAGTCCCAGGTTTTGAGTCAATCAAATCACGGCATCATTATGTCCTTTAAGGAAAAGTGTGATTAGTACCTTCCATGAGGCCTCTGGGGCCTTATTTTTTTGAGAAGTGAAAGAGATCTCAGTCACTGCACTTGTGTATTTAACTTGACTGCACCTGGCTGTTCTGTTGTGGGGAAGCTGCACCTTGCAACTTCAAGGGGTAGGTGGCGTTTATTTTTTTTAAATTATTGCAATGAACACACAGAAGAATTATACATTGTATTTAACTGTAAACTGACTAATACCTTCCAGTAGCAAATTAAATATGATGATGGAAACAATGATTTTGATCCTTAGTTTTGTTCACAGAGAAATCAAGAATTTGCTACTGCAGGACCTTTGTATCATCTGCTAATGACATTGGAAATTTGTTCTAGTGACTCCACAGAGTGGGCAGGGAGATGTGTGCTGTACTCTGGAAGTAAGGGACCCAGTCCCACAGTCTCCTCAAGTAGCCCAGGGCTGCAGGCAACCCAGAGTGCAGCAGTAGGTAGGGACTACCAGCGGCAACCAGTGTTCCAAATAGAAAGAGTCCTTTTCTTATCATCTGTAAAGACAGCAAGAACACTTATTTAAAATCTAAACACAGATTTCATTCTTAAACAACTTCCTCTTGTTCTTGAGCCTAAAACAGCAGTTGGGTTGCCTGAGCCCTAGGCAAAGTGCTGCGCTGGGTGGCAGGGTCCAGAACGTGGGGCCTCCCTCCTTCCTCTCTCCCTCTTCTCCCTCCTTCCAGAAATACCGGAATTCGTGTGTTCTGTATAAGGAATTCTTAGCAGTCAGCCTTTGTAGAGCCATTAAAACAAAATTTTTAAAAACCTAGAATTTAGGAAAAAGGGCTATGAGCACTGGCCTAGAAGAGTACTCCAGCCTAAGTCCCAAACGATCCAGGCCCTGCACAGTCTCCCCAAGAAGAGCGGTCGGCTTGTGACTCAGACAGACACACGCAGACCTTTAGACACAGTGCCTTCACCCGCTGCGGCGTACCAGCCCCGTGAGAGGGGCTCCTTTCGGCCTCACGCAGGTGCGCCCCCGGGTCCTCCTGGCCTCATTATCACACTGCACACCCCCTCCTGCGTCCTAACAGCCCCTCTCTCGTTCCCCTATTGGACTGTGCTCTTCTTGAGGGCAGGGACCCTATTTTATTCATCTTTGCACGAATGAATATTTTCCACACAGCAAAGTAATCTTTCCAAAACCCACACCTGAGTCACAGTTGCCTTTGAGCTCCCTGCTCCATATTCAAGATGCTTAAGGCCCTGCTCACTATTCAACTCCACCTCTGGCCATCCTCACGCGTCTGTGCTGCCGCCCTGCTGGCTGCACTGCAATACTTGCCATTCCCACGTGGGGCGTGCGAGGAGTTTCTCCAGCCTCCAGTCCCCTGACCCTCTCCGTTCTCCCCTGGGGGCCCTGTGCGCCTCTCCCCTGCAGGGGCCACTCCCCACCAGTCTCTGTGCTATGTGGAGAATAGGACTGCTTCTCTTCCACCTCTGTGCCCAGCTCAATCTCCACACACTAAATAAAATAACTTATCCATGAGTGAAATTGTAAAATTTCCAAAGTGGAAGATTGGGATTCTGAATGTCTATTTCCTGGCATCTTTGGGTCAGCTGCCCAAAATGAATGTGGCATAGCATTACACTGAAATTAGACTGTGTTTGATTAGTGATTCAGTTCTGCCCAATGTTACAAGTTAAACCCATAAGAGTTTGACATGAAGCAAAAGTCAATTGCTAAATAAAAATAGTAAGTCACATTGCTAAAATAAAGGTTTAGAAATATTAGCATCTGTTTGTTTCTAGAATTTCTTCTCTTTGAAAGCTCTCTCTCTTTGCCTCTGTATTTTAATCATTAGGCACTCTGCCCTGTATGTACCCAGAACAGCTTTTATTTGGAAGGTAAGCATTAGATGTCTGTCACATCATTTTTATATTTGCCTGAAGTAAACATAACCATAACACTATGAATGCAATCACATCATATTAAAAAAGGAAAATATAATCTGTTCCAACCTTTTTTTGCCAGTGCCAGCGCAACATAGCCTCATGGTATCTTATTCTGGAGAAGGTGACCTGTAAAGTTTAAAAAGTATTCCTGTGTATTCTTTAATGGCCAAACAGAAGATTAAAATGAAAAAAAATTTTAAATCCAGACCTTACCATGGTATAGAGAGGGATAAAGGTAGATGGCATAATGGCATGAAGAAACCTCTCTATGGCCTTCTGGAAGATGAACCACCTTGAGTTGACGTGCGCTCGCATCTGCAACATGCAGAGTCTTACAGAAAACCTGAACAAAGTACCCTGATTTCCTCACTACAGTTTTTATTACTCTTCATTCCAATTCATCATAAAGCTTGATGCAAAGCAGGGAAATAACCTGCCAGTCGTTTGTCATTCTTTGTTCATAAATGTCAATAGTCTAGAACATGACCTTGGAGAGGTAAAGCAATTGAGCAAAATCAGTTGGAAAATTCTTTTTGGCTCAGAGGTCAAGGTAGTTGTTCAACTGCATCTGTGGCTAGTCTTTGAGCCCAAAGATGTGACTAATTTCTGTTGCTTTCTGGTTGCTTGGGAATATTGTTTATGACAAGAAGGGATCTGTTGAAAGCTGTCTGTCTTGACCTACTCCATATTCAAGATAAATATTGTGTTGCAGCTGTCTTGCGTTTAAAGATACAGTCTAGATACATTGGTGGAGACTTTAGGGAACTTATAGGACTTCCTTCAACACGTATGAAATAATCTTGCTCAAGTTGAAGTCCACTTTATTTCTGTCTTTGGGAGAGACAGAAGACATACTCTTTTCTTGAAACTTCTAAATTTTTTCATTCAATTTTTTTAAACACTGTAACCATAACCATTTATCATGAGTTTTTCATGTCATTGGCTAAAAATGGAATTGTGTTTCTTCTGAATGTTAATCTTCTGGCTATGAATTTCTCTGGCATTACATATTTTTTTCACTGAAAAAGGCCCCAAAGGATATTATTCAATGGTAATCTAATTGAATTACCATTCAGTTTATACTGTTGAGTGGAAAGGTCATTTGCCATTTCTTAGATTTTCCAAATATGTTAAAACTCATCAAAGTTATTATGTTTTCCTTTAAATGGCATATTACTAAGTCTATTAAATGTCTAAGGTTTGAGCCTGTGAATTATCAAAGATTGAAACCAGATAATTTTTATCTTTGTTACCTCCTAAATGTTCCTGAAGTGGAAATGGAGATGATATGTGTGCATCATTGTCTCTATCTACAGAGTCTCAGTCCACCCACGTGGGGGGAAAGACAGGGTGGGGCGGATGGGGAGTGTGTCTGTGTGCGGGGTGAGTTCTTCTGTACCTATTCTTATTCAGCACCTACGACATGGAACATAGAAAAATCAAAGAAGAGAATGTTGTTAGAATATCAGTAAATGACCTCACAATAGAGCCAAAGCCTTCTGACTCACCTCTATGTAATTGTACATGGAAAGGTCTGAAATCGCATGGTCATCTGGAATTCTAAATCTTGAGAATTCAGGAAGGCACATACCTAGAAACCAAGTTAAATAATACATCTTTTCCAAAGGAGTCTATAAAAATGTACCAGATGCTATAAATTAAATGGTGCATTCCCTACCAGTGTTGTCTCTAACCTTTTAAAACTATGGGTAACCAGGCTGAATGACCAGTAATCTATGAATTTTGAGCAAAAATGCATAGGTATTTCCTAATGTGATTAAATGAAACTTAAAGTGAATATAATATATTCGTAATGAATACATCATTATTTTCCTTATTTCAACAGTGGAAAGCAGTTCATGTAAATGACTGAATGACACGCAATGCCCTTGGGGTTTGCTCTCTCCTTTTCACTCTTGCTACGCCTATGCATTTGCGTCCTTGCACCTTAGACACCTCATCAACTTAAACATCAGCTCTGCCATTATTCCGTGACCTCCCACAGGCAGGCCCCATGTTTTATGTTGGGAACATTAACCTGTTATACGGTAAATGCTGAACAAATATTCGATGAATTAATGACTAATAAAATGTTCACATGGCCAAACAGCTCTAGTTACTAAGGGTGCTGTTTCTCAAGTCCAAGAGCCTGGCTGTATGTCCCAGCCTCGCCACTAGAGCCACCTGACTTTGGCCATGTTCCATACTCTCTAAACTTAAGTTTTCTCAGCTGTAAAATAGGGACAAGAATAGTGCCTATGCCACATGTTCATGAGGACCAAATGAGAAAATGCATTTCTTTAAAGAGCAAGATATCCAACATGTAGGAGACATTGGGTGATGTTAGGTATAATTATTGTCATACAGTTCTATCTTTGTCACTAGTAACCAAACCCAGTTCTGATGGTATGTTCTGATACATGAACCCTTCATCCATTTTCATCCTTGTCATCACATGCAAAACAATCACTCGAGGGCTAGGAAAGGAGGGAATGACAGGTCTCTGGATACTGGAGATGATCGGAGAGAAAAGAAGAAGCCAGAGGGAATCTGCCCTGGAACCTGCAAGTGCTTCTGGCCCAGACACCACAGTGTCCGTGACCTCTTGTGCCACCACAAGAAACATTTACTGTGAACTCACCCTGTGCCAGGCTTTAAAAAACAAAAGAAACTTTACACAGATCATTTTGTTTATCTTTGCAAAAACTTGCTAGAGTTGGTTTTATTGTCCCCACTTTATTGATGGGGGGGGGGGTGATCCTGAGACTTTGAAAGGATGAAGTGACTTGTCCCAAGTCACACAGCTCATGAACTGGTGGGTCAGGGTTGGCGTCTGGGTGTGTGTGTAAGGCCAGTGCCCCACACCTCTTTTTACCTGAGACAGGTGTAGTTTCAGAGGTAGCCCTTGGGAACATGTGATGCTGGGAAGTGGTAAAAGTTATCCAGTTCTTAGGCCAGTGTTTGCAATTTCTTTTACAAATGAATAGTGTGTCTATTTAATTTAATTTCAGAATTACACACAAAAATTTTAGACTTCAATATTTGTAAAATTAATATATTGACAGAATCTATTTTAATGAAAAAGCAAATAGAAGTATCAGGTGCAAAGTTTGATAAGGTCAAAAGTAAGAAAGAGCTAGGGCTTTTAGAAGTGTCTCTGGGCATGTGGATGGCAGATCACCTAGGTGGACAGGGAGAGAAAGGAGCATATATCCATCAAGCTTTGGTACTGAGACGTTTATCTTTGTGTGCATCACTACATAGACCTTCGTGTACAAACCTTAAAAGAAACTCGGTTTCCCTCTCTGGGTGTTCCTTGTCTGATATAGGCAACCACAGTGGCATAGGCTATTGACAGAAGAATTTATAATCCTGAATGGGAAATACACATCATGGGTTTGTAATCACTGAGGACCTGAAATGGGTCCATAACTAATTGGCAGAGCTACTCCATGTCCATCTGAGAAATTTTACTTACTAAGGTTATTATTGAATTTATCCATTAACTCATCAAATACCAAGCAGTCTTCAAAGCCCTGAAATGAGAAAAAATGGGAAAAAATAAACTGGAACTAGTGAAGGCTTCTTAGCAATTTTCAACAGACTTCCCATCAGTGAGTAGAATTCATAAGAAGTAATCCTTGACCAACACACAGCAGCTGATTATTACACTTGACATTAAATTATGATAATGAAAAGACCACAAGCCAAGATGTGTGATAGTTTTGTCTTTGCCCAATTCATATATATATGATTATAACAACTTGAAATGTGATCAGAATTTTAAATTACTCTTATAGCTCTGACTGATTCCATTGCTTCTTCAAGAAGCAAGAACAATTATACTGCTCTACCAGGAAGTAGTAGAATGATATATAAACTACTCAGATCTCTAAGATTCATATATAGAGCAATATTTAATGACAGGATAGAACTCTCATATTAATTCAGTTCCTATAAGGCAAGATTAAAGCAAATTTCCAATATCAGTAAATCCACAAAATTAGGTGCTACACTAAGTGCACTGGGGGAGGAGAAAATCAAAGCAGTGGTTCCTGGTTTCTAGCAATTCTAATTACAGTTTTAGAGACAACATAAAATAAGTAAAAGTTAAAATAGAAGACATTTTTCATGTCAACCATAGAGATTACATCTGATGCCAATAAATTTACTTGTCATTTATATAGACTGTTACTGCTATAGGAATTTAGAGATGATATCGTATAGGGCTGAGATGATAACACTTGGAAATTCTTTACTTATTTAGTTCATTTACTCCTCAAGAATCTCTGTGAGGTGGGTACTGTATTTTTTTTGTTTTTTTTTTAGATATCTTAATTTTATAGATAAGGAAGTAAAGATAAGTTACTAGTATGAGAATATGTTCTAATAAATCCTGGGGCTGGATTTGAATCCAGGCCTCCTAATGCCAGAGCCTGGGCATTTATTTATCCACTATGCTAAATAAACTTGGTGTGTTCTTATGTTTTTGTAATACAAAATGTTTTCCACTACTTTCTGGAAAATATAATCTATTAGATTCACAACGTATTTATACTTGAAATAAATCCCAGTCAGCAAAACAATAGCAAACAATGATCATATAGCTATTAGCTATCAAATACATACACACAGGAAATAATTGTCTGTCTAGACAATTATTTTAGGATTCCTTGAAATTAATGGTCAGTATTTGAATATTATTTCTTTTCTGAAATACTTCTCTAACCATAATGGTAACACTTCCATGAAGGCAGTAACATTCAACATCTGATCTGTTTTATAGTTATATTTAATCCTGTCAACTGTACTTTCCTTCCTTTTGGAAAGAAAAAGTGGAGAAAAAAACAAATGATTTGGGATTTTTTTTCCTTCTGAACCTAATATGTATATATTTATGCATAAGCACTAGAAAAAAGCCTATTTTAAAAATTGTCTTAATAGTTAAGTCACCAAATTTCAAGCTATCAATACATGTTTCTCACCATACAGAAAACTCTTAGGCTTCATGCTTTGTTCTACATCAGGTTACTAGGTTAAGTAATCCAAGACTTGACTATAGGTAGTGATCAATCTAGTTAAACAGTGGTATGATTATTGAATTGATTGTTTTCCCAGAAATTACATGGGGAGAGTTTTAGACATTTTTTTTAATTTAAGAATTTTCATTGAGACTGACCCAGAAAAGTTTCAGGGATTTACCTGGGGAAAAAGACCTTACCGCGTTCATTCCTTGCCCAAAAAAAGGCACTATGGCATGAGCCGCATCGCCCATGAGCACACAGCGTGATTCGAAGTGGAAAGTGGAGCACTTTACGGAGATCATGGGCTGAGCAGGCAACAGAAAGAAATCTCGTGCTAGGGCTTGCCTGCAGAGGAAAACAACCAGTTATAAACATGTTAAATTTGTTATTAAAAACTGCCTGATTCTTTCAGACTTAGTGACTTTATTACCATAGGATTTTATTGAAAAATACACAAGAATGCCAGGGAGATGATAGGAAAAGGAGAAAGGAAAGTTTCTTCTAGTCCCCAAATTTCAAGAATGGCTTACACCAATGTTAACCACAGCCAAAAAGAACACGTTTGGCTGCTTGTCAACAACTTGAAATAGGTTTGTGTCATATGTCATGAAAATTCCATTATCATGCACAAGGGCTCTGCAATTTTCAGCTATGTTAGTGCATTTTAGTTTCTCATGGAATAATGGAGAGGCTGTTGTGCATTGGATTAAATCACAACAAACCAAAATTGAAGTCCATATGTATTTACATGTATTTGAGATTGACAACAATAATCAAGCTAGTGTTTGCCCAGGTTTTGTGGAAGCTATAAGTAGAGAAATAGTATATACCAGCAAGGCTTTTAAATCTGGTTGGAGAGGCAAGAAAGAGCCATGGAACATTTGGTTGTGCAGGCAGGTTCTCCAAGGTCAGAGAAGGCAGGATCACTGCAGACAGAACCTGTCTGCAGGGCGGATGAAAGCTAACCCTTTTGTAAAGACCTGCTGTGGGCTGGCAAGGGCAATCCCTTACACAATTAGCTCATTGAATTTTCACATCCATCCTGGAAGGGCGGCATCCTGATGCCCATTTTACAGATGAAAAGCCTGAGGCTCGGAAAGTAAGGGGCAGCCGACATTAGAATCTTGCTCTTTCGGCAGCGTGTGCTGCCTCCAGGGAGATGTTGAATGTAGAAAGTGAGCTGGGTTCCAGGAGGAGGCGCAGTGGGAGCAGAGGCCCTGAGTGGGTCCCAAAGACAAGGCCCATATGGTGGGTGGGGTCGGCATGGGCCAGGGGAGCGGCGGGTCATGAACCAGGCAGCTTCTACAGTTAGCTCCCGACTGGGGGTCTTGATAGGTGCCAGGCCGTGCTGAATGATTCATGGGCATGCTCTCCCTTCGTCCTCTCTTCAGTCCTTTGGGACAGGTACTATTTATTATTTAATCACGAGGGGCCAAGATGTAGGAACATGCACAGCCAGTAAGTGGTGGGCGTGAGACTGGAGGCTGCCGGCTGTGTCCACCACGCTGCAGACGTACGTATTCACCAGTAGAAACAAGCGCGGCCACGCCTCTGGTTCACGTCAAGTCACAAGGCACCTGGGAGCCTGCACAGGATACGGGAAGTCCTCGGGACATTGGTGACTTGTTTTTCCTGGGAAACTGGCCAAGGCATGGGGCTGTTGAGAATTCCTGCTCAGAGCACAATACCCACTTAGACTTTTGCTTTAACGTAGGCTTCCGTCCAGGTAACGGCACGATTGGGCACGTTTAATCAAAACTGAAATAAGGCACATGAACTTCACTCAACGAATAACTACCCAATGGAGCAAATGGCACAATTGTACATCTTGAAACTTACGCTCCAATTAGAGGGATAGAATCCGGAAAGTACTTCTGGAAGAAATCCAGCACATCGCTACCAGTTAGAAGTTTTTCAAACTCTTCAAAGGGCATGAACAAAGTACACGTGAAGGATTTGTTCTGTGAGCAGAAGAGGAACAGTGTGAGGCCGGAGGGCTGGTCCAAGGCCACGCTAGTGTGGCCCCTAAATCTCAGGGTTCCTGCCATGGCCCAGGGTACTTGGGAGGCACCCTCACTTTCTCCCCCCACACCCGGAGAAAAGCTCTGTCAAATTCCGGGGGTCTCCCAGCTTCTTGGTCATTAGGAGAATTTCTATACCCTGAACTTGGCCCATTTTTACCAAGCAAACACTACAGTCTTTAGATTTCTACTAGGTTGGCTCAATTGAATTTCTCCTTCCTGTTTTTCTCTATGGTTCCTTGTAAGATAGTATGAAGATCCATAGGACTGCTAGCCAGACAAAGAAAAAGACCAGCTAGAGACACACATCATTGCAGCCTTACAGCTAAAAAGTCTGTGGAGCCTAATGAAAGAAGAGCTGTATTCTTTTTTGATAATGCATTCTCCTATGTCCTACAGACATAGAAGATGGAAGACTGCCTAATATGTAACCCAAATCTCTTTGGCCTTATTTGAAGGCTGTTGTCTTTCATGTATGTTAGATCTCCTTGCCAATGTAAATAACAGAAATTCCCTCAGAATTTTTCTTGGGTAATTCCAAAGTTTCAATGATATAATCACTAAATAGATGAAATGATGTTAGGCATACAAATACTAAGTACAAAAGTAAGTAAAAAAAAACATGAATTATAGATACAAAATTACACTTGATAAATTCTATATTACCATGTTAGGAAGCGCAATCATCATAAAGGTGTTTCTAGGCCAAATATGTAGATAATTTGGTTCCATGGCATACTGAAGGAAAAAAAAGTGTATATACATTTGATTAGTGTATTAATGTAGCACACCTATAAAGCTGACTCTGTTTATGTCACAACTGCTTCAACAGCGATTTACTTAATATCATATCTATGTGTGATATGTATATCTACCATTACTTAAAGTAGGAAATACTTTGTGTCCTGTCTTTATAAATTCAAAGAACTTAGGTGGGTTTTTATACCAGATATAATTCAAGATTTAAGAACATTCTATAAGAAGATGTTCTCTCTCTCCTCCTTTTATTTCTATACACACCCACATATACACAGACATGTACATACATATATAAAGAAAATGTATACACACATATCAGCTATATAGGTGTATGTATATACATGTATATGTGTGTGTATAATACTGTTATACTTTATTTTTCACCTTATTCAGGGACTCTTTTGCATACATAGAGACGTTCGAAGTTTAAATTTCATGCACAAAACAAAATTTTACAAACAAGCCTCTTACCACTTGTTTCCTAAAACACAAGTAGTAGGAAGAAATCTGGTCTTTTCATTGACCCACTACAATGCAATAGCAGCCTGAGTAAGTACTGATTGCTTGGGGAGATCGACTGACCCACAGCCCCAGCTGACCTAGATGCTGGTGGCTCCTAGAGGTATTATATACATAAGAAGATGTAGTCAACTTTCCAACTATTTCAAGTTTGTATTACTTTTCCAAAGGTTTAGAGAGAACCTACTGTGTATGTATCTCACATAGTAAGAACATAGAAAGCATAGGATTGCCTCCAGCTAACATTTTTATACCCTAGTAGGCTTATTTATGTCTTACCAGAAACTGTCCATTCCTGGCTTTTTTTATCCCCCAAGTCCCAAGGAAAGCCCACCACACAGACAGAAATGAAAAAGTGTGTAACTCTTTGGCCTCAGAGCTTATGGTGGAATTGAATAGCTGACTGTGCATGTGTGAAGAGCCTGGAGCTTCTTAACAGCCAGGAGCAGAGGGACAGCAGCAGTGCTAAAGGAGAGGAAGTATAGGAAATAAAGACTAGGTAGGTAAGAAATCTGTGAGGCTGGAGTGGTTAAAACAAGGGATTCATAGGGTAGATAAGGAGTTAGATAAGGATAAGGGGCTTCTGGGTAATTGTGAACCTGCTGGGCAAAGTGGAGGTGGCATAAATAAGCACAGTGGTCTGGGTAGGTGGTAAGGAGACCAGTCTGGATGAGGCACCTGTCCTTGCTTTTCCCCTTCTGCTACCTTTCAACCACTTCAACAACCTTTTAGAGCTCCAAAAGATCAGGAAGGGCAGAGAAGTGACAGGTGAAACCAATCTGTCATTTACTGTGGTAGTAAAGGTTAAAACTGCTGATTAACAACCATCTGGAAGATACGTACACCTCCTGTCTTCACCATCGGCATAGATAATTGTTTATACATTGTTTTGATATAGCAAATACGATACCAGCACTATTCCAGGACTCTAGAAAATAACCCCATAAAATCTCCTTCTTTATTGCCAAGTCATACTCTCAATAGATAGCTTTATCCAACAGCAGCCCCAGGGGCAGGCTTGCCACAGTCCCCAAGGGTCCTCTCTCCTCCGGGCACTCCAAAGTCTGAGCAAATGCAGGTTGCCTGCTGTGCAAACACAGGGTAGTATGAGCCTCACATCCACTTCCCAGCAGCACCCCATGTTCACCCAGCCTGTCACTCACCAGTCTCTCTCCCCCTCCAACCACTAGAGATGGAGTGAAAGCATCCAGTACATTAAAGAAAGAGAGAGAGAGACAAAAGGAAGGAAGAGAGCAAAGGAGAGAGAGAGAGAGAGAGAGAGAGAGAGAGAGAGAGAGAGAGAGAGAGAGAGAGAGAGAGAGAGACGGAGGGAGGGAGGGAACAAAAGGAAGACAGGTTTCCTAGGATTGTTTTCGTCAGAATATTCTCAAGTCCGATCACATTGCTATGTCAAAACAGTGTTCCTTAAAAGAGCAGAGACTTTTTGTAAACTACTAATCAATACTATTAAATATGAATACTTAGAATATATATGACTACCTCAAATCTACATTACGAAGCATGATATCACTCAGGTCTGGGACAATTTTTCAGTAGAATCTTGTCATTTTATAACCCAGAATTATCAGATCCTGAACCATGACAAAAAGGCTCACCTCAAAACCACAGAGTCAACATATGAGCATTACTAAATACATTTATGACCAGGAAGAAAGAATAAATCAATGACTTGAATGTTAAAATAAGGATTTGACTGGCGGACACAGTTTGTAATACCACTATCCTGAATTGACTAGGTATTTTATAGATGTCTGAATTTCAGATAGGGTTGATTAAATCAATACCTTAAAAATGGATATTTTGTATGCAAATCAAAAATTTAGCTAATGCTGTTTACTTATCCTTAATTACAGGCCAAGATCCTTATTGCCTCTTTTGGGACTTTAATTTTTGTCAGTAAGTTCCTACATTAATTTGCTTATGACAGTATAAAATACACCTATGAAGTTTTTGCCTTGGGCCATGTAGGGTTTAACCTCAGAGCCAGGGAGGAGAAAAATAAAATGGAAGGCTCTTTGAAACCACTTGGTATTCACTTTACCCAATAACTATTATTTGATTTAATTGTGAGTATAAAAACTCTGGATTACCAGTATGCAGAGTGAATCCCAACTCATTTTTTTCCCCAAAACATACAGAAAAATGACAATATCATGTAAGAAAAGCCCCCCATGCATTCCCATTTGGATAGTTGTAATTCCTCTCCATTCCCTCCCACTCATGAAAGCATATCCAAAGGTCAGGGAGTGAGAGGGATGCTGTTAACAAGATACCTGTATCTTTATTGTAACTCAACTTTACTGTTAATTACAGTTAATTTACTCTGTAAATCAACTTTACTGTTAATTACAGAGGACTTGGGGCAGATCTCAAAAACTGAGCAAGACGAGCTACTGGCAAGGACCTGCCCAGAACGTGCACCTTCCTGGGCAGGAGGGGCAGGAGGGCGGTGGGCAGCAGGGGGAGGGCTTACGTCCCCGCGCCGGGGCGGAATGGTCAGCTCCATGTACCCATGGGGGATGTACTGCTGACTGTAGTCAAAGCGGGGCTTCTTCATGAGGTGAGCCCTGACGGTTGAAAAGGCGCCATCACAGCCTACAATGAGGTCACAAGGGACATCCTGGGGAACTTTGTTAGATCTGAAAAATAAGATGAATCATCCAACAGTCTGGTGAAAATGATGGCATGCCTCCACCCAGTACAAAGAGGGGGACTCCGAGGGGCCACAACCCACTTGCGCATAGCTCGCTTAGGCCTTTGAGTCGACGGCCAGGCAGTGAAGATGGTAACACTCGTCCCTGTCAAGGCATTGTGTGCATAGAGGGGAATGACCCGCCACCACACTGATTAGTAAAGACCTGCCAGGCCACTGCATGAAGGAAAAGAATCTTGAGGAGGAGGAGGCGAAGTGTTCCGAGTGGAGGGAATGTATGAACCACGCTGGGAGTGCCCAGGAGTTTCCGGAGCAACGTGTTAGCTTGAGTGCGGGTGTCAGAAGACAGGCTTAAGAAACAAATATGATATGGGAAAGGAAAGGGGTAAAAGAGAATTACGAATAGGACAAAAGGTTTAAAACATTATTCTGGCAAAAGGAAGAAAATATTTTGTTTTCCATTGAGGCGATGAAGTATGAAAAGTGCTGATTTAGTAGAACTCACTTGGCAGCAGACATTTTTGAGTGGAGACAGAATGCAGAAGGGCAGGAAAGGGGGACATGGTGACTTTAGTGGCCTCCACGTATAGGGAGGAGAACCCAAGGGCCATGGGGCTCAGGAAGAAGGGGACATAGGCTCTGCATCCCACAGGAAGGAAGGAAGTCTGGGTGGTGTCCCTAGATTTCCTGGAAGAATACAGGGAAAAGGGCACACACCAAGGACGATTCTAATCATTTGGGGAACAGTACTAGGGCTGTCAGGAGTAGATATGCTCCGAGAGAAACACACGATGATGTCAGATGTGTTTGAGGTCATGGCGAGAGGCACCTGTGAATGTGTAGTGGGAATTAACAGTATTAGTATTGAAAAAGGACTGAGAGTGAAGACAGAGCCTGGGCTAGAAAGGACGGACTATGAATTCATGACAGATCCCAATAGTGGGACACAGGGCTCGGGAAGGAAAATGGAGACAGCCACGTCAAGGCAGACACACGTCTCCAGAAAGAGAGGAGACCCAGGGCCTGGAGGAGACTCATCTGTGCTGGGGGAGGGGAGTCTGAAGCAGAGTGTGGCACCAGGAGGGGTCATGCAGGCAGATGGGTGAGTATGAGCATCAAGAAGGATCACTGGTGCTAATATTCAGAAGGCATGGAAGCCTATTTTCAACCTGAAATTTTTTGAATCTAGAACTATTTGAATCAGCCTTTCAGTAATCAGTAATTTAATGTGTTCGAAAGAGACAAGGACCAAAGTTTACAGAGACAGCTCTCCGTTCCGTCCCGTCACCTCTGAAGCCAAAGACACCAGGGATTACCCAAGCACTGTGATCATTCCTTCCTTGGGGTCACATTTCAGCAGCCTGTGACCAAAGTGCACCTTTGCATTGGGATATTTCTCAACAGCTAAGGAAACAAAGAGAGAAAGCAAATAGAAATTCCAATTCTCATTTCACTTAAATTGAAACAGGAGTCATTTTCTGAGAACAGTATGATAGAGGCATTTATTCTTAGCAATGTAAAAATGAATTTGTTAACACAGTTTGGCAAATATTCCAGGATAACTTGGTAGTAAAAAAGATGAATAAAAAACTATCCTCATCTCAAAAAAAAAAAAGAAAGAAAAAAGAAATCCAACTAATTCCGTTACACAAATTCTTATATCTCTGTAATTGTTGGCACCCTGGAAAAGAAGCAGGAATCCCATATTTTAAAAGTTGCCTCTAATTTAAGATATCATTTGTGATTGCAAATAGCAAACTCCTTCTCCCTTACTATGCCTGACTATCTTCTTTTTGGCAAGTCTTTTAGACTTCTGACTCAAGTTGTCACAAATATAAATTACAGACATAAATTCTTTCTGTAAAACAAACACTGGAACCCTTAGGGAAAAAATGAGTGAGCAGATTTGAAACTTCTCAATAAATAGAATCAAATTATTTTAGTGTTGTTTGTTGTGCCTGCTAGCAATCTATAGAATTTAGTGCATTTCATTTTTGGAACTATTAATCAATTCTTGTCATAGTAGCAAAATATGATGTTCTTAAAGCTACAAATCAGAGGGCAGGTGTGGAATAGACCTCAGAGATGATTCGGCCCCAAACCCCTGCTCTTATAAATGGAGCAACTGAGATCCTGGAGGGAGAGGTAAGCTCCCAAGATAATGCAAAGTAAAAAAATCAAGAAAAAGAAGCTGGAGGTTCTGGTTTCCAGTTCCATAGTCCTATTTACATTTACCTCCCTTTTTCATCCCAGGTTGTGTCTTCTTTTCTTCTGTTTTGCCGGAGTTTGGTTTGGGGTTTGAAGACTAAGATTCTTGGATACAGAACCAGTGCTTTTAGAATATTGAAAATGGAGAGTGCTTAAAACAAAGACTTATCTAAGTTTAAGAAATCTTTTGGCAAATAACTCTGGAGAAATCAGATTGACCTGAACCACTAAGGGTATCTTTTACAAACACAAAATGTGTTTATGGTATTAGCCGGTTTTAAAATTAAATTTAAATAACATTTTATTGTGTTTTTTATGGAAGTGTATACTGATACATCCCAAAGAATTTTCCACAGAAGATTAGTCCTGGGATAGATTCCCTTAAAAAAAAAAAAAAACAGTTCTGTGATCAAAGCCATTAGAGAAATGCTAATATTCTGACCCTGCTGGCTCAGCTGTCATGGCCCTGATGAAAACCAGGAGGGGAGCTTCTGTCTGCACACCCAGTTGCATCTTCCCCACCTTAGTATTATATGATAATATATCACATATTACATATATGATTGGAGGCAGTGACTATATAAGTGTTAAAAGCATGGACTCTGTAATAAACAGATTTGAGCTCCAGTCCATATTCTACCACTTGTTAACAGGATAGCTCTACACGAGACGTTCCCTGAGCCTCCTTTACCACCTGTAAAGCTGAGATAGAAGTAATCCCTTCTTCACAGAGTCATTGGGAGGATTATGTAAATCGATGCATGTAAAATACTTAACATAGTGCCTGGTGCCTCAGTGAAGGTTTGCTATGATTTTTACCTTAATAAATTCAGAGCGTGCTCTAGAGAGAGACTGTCTCAGATCTGCTGCAATACTACTTTTTTAAAAGCTGGTTTGTGGTTTCTTTTCTTAAGATGAACATGAATAAATCTAGTCACCTACGCCCACCCTACCTATCTACCCATCCAAAATTCAGTCTTAAAAGTATAGGTAAATATATGAAATTACAAAGAACACTAAGCCCTGTGTCTTAAGTCCCTGGTGAATCAACTAGAGTGACATTCCCCCCAGCTCCTTTGCTCTGATCAATTCAATAAAATTCAATGGACACATTGCAAACTCTTTCTGGGGAGGGGACTGTAGACATGCAGAAAAATCAGGTGGAGCCTCTACTCTCTAAGAATTAGAGTTTGTGGGACTGCATTTGAGGAACTGAGTCAAAAGCTAATAGAAACACTCAAGTGGCATGCTTTGCAGGGAGTGACCTGTTTGCTACTGAAAAGGAGAAAATCTGAGTATAATCCAGGGCTATGTGGGATGTGACTGGACTGATGATCCAAGATGGAAATTTCCTCTGCAACCCAGGGGCTTTTCCACTCATGGGTAGTTAGACCTTTTTAGTCAGTCAGATTAGAATCCTCAGGGTTATGTTTACACCTTCCTCTTCTCAGCCTCCCACACCCACGGTCTGTTTTATTTCCTCCAAATGCCACAGATCTGCACCCTCCCCTCCAGCCACTCTTCTGTGGCTGTGGTCCATCACACTCTACAAACTGCTCCTCTGCGGCCTCCACACTACTGCTTTCCATCTTTCTGGAAGACAAATTTCATCGTGTCTGTGCAAATGGCTCAAGTATTATCTGTCACTACAGGAGACCATGAGCTCTGTAAGCACTATTCATTCTGATGCCTCAAAGACAATAGGGATTTAATACATGTGGAACAACTGATTTTTATTTAGATCAGTGATAAGATGAAAAAGAGATGCTAAAGGATGTATCACTGCAACTTTTCAAGGACTTTGTACTGCCCATAGTCTTGCTATTAATAACCTATACAAAGGAATAGTAAACAAAACCCAATAAATCATGTGACAAGATCGGTCTCACATGTGTTACTGAAAATGACAGTAGGTCAATAATACCATACACTTACCAGTCAATAGCTCCTTGTTCAGATTTTCTCTGCTTATAGAAAGAATATACTGCAAGAAAAACATAGTGGATACTGTTTGTCTGGAGGATGCACAAATATGATTCTGTGTTATTCATGCAGCAATAGGAAATATTTATTATTTAGCAGAAGTTTGCAAGCTTAGTTTTATAACCATTGAGCTAAGTAGACTTTTTAAAATCAAATACATATAATATAATGCTCAAGTTTACACTTAGGTTTTTTCAAAGTTAGATACTATAAAACCAAACCAAACCCTTCTCCTGCTGCAAAAATATTATTTTCACTACCATGGTTTTATTTCAACAACAAAATTGTAAGTCTCATATTTTCATTCTGGGTCTCCAAATGGAGCTGTTGGAAAAACTTCAGTAGGACAACACCGCTAGAATCAATGAGCTATTTGCCAAAGAGAGTACTTCAAAAGCATTTATTTCAGTGTGAATGGAGTGTATGTCAGTGTGTGGCGGGGGGGTGGGGGGGACAGTGGCAGGAGGAGGATCAACTCTTGCTAGGACACCTGTGGGTTGTTCTGACTTTGTAACAAGTCAGCAGGGCTGATCCATGACCCACGGTGGGCACAGCCCCCGGTATCCACAATACATTCAGGGGCTCATGAAAATTGTTTAATTTTAGTTTTTTTTTTAAATCAGGTGAAAAATAAATAAATAAAATGAGTATATAAAATAAATCCAGCCTGGATTATATTCATCTTTATACCAATGCACTCATAAAATCTAAATTTTCATATTTATTATTTTATAGGGAGAGAGGCCCACAAAGGCACAAGTGAGCCCACCAGAGTTGCAATGCAGCTTTGTTAGTCAGGGTGAATCCATTGCTTTAAAAATTTAAAGCATATTTTTTTCCCCAAATTACAGGACATCACAACATTTAATACAAATAGGCGAATTGTTGAATCTTCACCTCATCCAAGTGCAGACATTTAAAATTGATGGCTGAACCCACACTTAGGGTAAAAGTAACTCGGTCATGCTATGGGGGAACATCCTGTGTCTTTGCTACAAATTACAGTTCACAGGCCTCTTAATTCTCTGCCTCACAGTTCTGTTTTCTGGTCTCCTGTGTCATCAATCACCTCATCTCAATGGAAACCATGCTCATTATTCAAAGTAAGGTAGGAGACATTCAAATCAGGACCTGCTCATTTCCTGGGGAAGATATTCTTTCCTTCAGTTACCAGGCCCAGTTGACACCTGTACTATCTGAGAATGAAGGACAGACACGTGGGTCCTGCAGGGAGAGCAGTGAAGCCCCTGTCTGCCCTACCCCCCACCCTGGGGCAGTACCATGACCAATGGTTAGAGTCACTCCCAGCCCATCTAGCTTCTCCAACACCTGTTCTAAAAGGCTGATTTTATGATGAGTAAATATGAATAAGAATAAGCAAATCTTCACAATACATGTAAAACAAACCACCATGCTCTATGCCTTAACTTATACTGTGATCTATGTCAATTATTTCTCAATAAAACAAGAAAAACCCTCATTTTTGGTGATGGCTAAAAAGAAATAATGTTCATATTCCAGCTCCAGATTTCCTATCTGGATAACTTTATGAACTTATTTAGTTTATCAGAAGACAAAAACAGGAACAAGCCTCTGGTTGCAAGCTGGCAGCCCTCTATTTCAAATCTTAGCTCAAAACATGGCAACTTAATCTATAATATGATTCATCATTAACAGTTCTTACTCTTCATATTGAATTTTATAAAGTTCTGTGTATGCTTCCTAGGCATGTATTAGAGTGATTATAAATGAATTAAACATTATTAATCCAATACTGTAACTGGCTACCACCTGATGCTGCTTAGTGACTTAATTATGTTTGACACACTAAATTGTTTCAAATAAACCTTTACAAAGGTCCTTAAAAAAAAAGATTAAAAAAAAGAATAAGAGCTAAAAAATGGCCTTTGTAACCAAAAAAATAATAAACCTAAGTAGACATAATAAAGTCAGAGAATCTTTGGAGATTTGTAAGACAATAGTCACAGTACTGACTTTTTCAAATATATTAGGAAAAAATGTTTGCATTATCCTGAATGCCTTCAGGTGAGAATGCCTTCTGGTGATGGGCCACCGTTTCTCCTTCTGGGCAAGGGGGTTAGGAATAAGAATTGGGGAATTCTGACCTGCACTAGATTTTAGAGAATATTTTGATAGTTTCCATCGCAATCTGGGGGGTAAATGGGAAGAACTATCAAAACAGGAGTCTGGACCATGCAAAGGAGAAAATGCAGACAGACCTGTAGCTGGAGGAGGAAGGCTTGGAGGAGACATTCCTACGGGGTGTGGTTCAGACATTTTTATCATCACAAGTTGCTTAAGGACCTTGTTCCCATTAGCATATGTACTTTATCTCTTGCTACCCAAAGTGTGGTTCCTGGGCCAGCAGCTTGGACACCACCTGAATGTATTTAAAATGCAGAACCTCAGCCCCACCCCAGTCCTCCAGAACCAGATTCTGCACTTTGACAAGATCCCCGTGAGTCTGAGAAGCACTGATAATACCTATAATGGGAGCTCAGCAGAAGGTCAGAGATCCAGAGGGCTGTGGACCTCACCTGGACTCTACACTTAATAAGATGAGGCTTTGATGGATAGAGAAAGTTGGGGTTTCTTTCTGGCTGATTGATATTTGGTACATTGATTCTCTCTCAAAGAAACCAATTTAGGAGGTATAATTAGATAAAAAATATATACTTTGCCCAACTCTGTAGTTACCATGTTACTATGCAGAAGATAAGAAGAAAAGTACAAAGCAGGATAATGGATTTTCTTTTGTAAACTCTATATCACCATCTGGCCTCTGTTGTTTTAGAAATTATACAGCACTGCAGCCATTTCTGGCTCATTCTTTAAGTACTATTTTAAATAAATTTTGGGCAAGAGAGTCAGTTTGGGGTTGGCAACAGCATTGTAAAACCCTCTAGAGTTGTTCTTGCATATTATGCTGGTTCATAAATACATGGTAATCTTCTCTATGCAACGGAAAGGAGACAGGAGGGAAAGGGTGTCCCAGGCCAGTGTGAGCAAAGCATAGAGGAAAAAAACATCCTAATAGCGATGTAACTAACTCTTATTGAATATTGGTTAAGGGCTGGGCCCTTGTTGACTAGTATATGTCCCCAAATTCTAGACTGGGGCAGGCAACACCAAAGGTAGGTCTACAGACGACAAAAAGGGTCACTAAGCAAGCGACAAGTTCCAGACATTAGACTCAGCTGTAACCAAACAGTAATTCAGGGTTCACCTACCTGCGACTTTGTCCCATAGGGAATTGCAGACTTTTTTCCTGAAAGAGCATGAATCATTCTTGCTCTCATGGGGATACCTTGGGATACAATCTGAAATAAAACCAGAAATACTGATTTTGATTTCTGTAACATGGCATCACACAAATAAGACAGATATTGTTTTTAAATTGTGCTTTTTCAAATCTTTTCAAAAAAAATGGAAAGTAGTAAAAGGGGCCCTTGAAAACACAGTATGGTGTAAACAATCAGTGGAAATGTTAGCTGTTTGCTTTTCTTTAACCTTTAGATCGTGGAGTCGACTTAAAGCTTATATGATCTAAGTCACATAGTATAATGGGAGAAAGCAGTTCACTGTCAGAGAAGTTAAGTGATTTTCTCAGGATCACAAGAGAAGAGTAATGTGTGGGGAAAGAACCCAGGGCTCCTGAGCCTGCTGCTAAGCGTTTTCCTACACACACACCTGCGAAAATTGAGATAGAAATGCCACTTGTATTGACTTATCATTCCAAAGACACATTGTCAGCAAAAATACTATTAGAAAAATATATTATTTCAGTTCACATTTTCAAGCCACATGATAGTGAGACTTTAGTAGGATTGAGCCCTTATGAATAAAATCTATAAGCCCGCTATCCTTATCCAGACCATTGAGGCCTATTATGTTCAGAATTCAGAAGTTTTCAAGTTTTAGATAGGTAAAGCAGTGTTTATGTGGGTACCACTTAACAAACAGCGTAGTCTGGCTTATTGAAGTACAGAATGGTGGAGAAGAGATTATGGACCTGTACGGTCAACAGACAGATACCAGCTTGGCCACACTAATGTAGGCAGAGAGTCACCACCTCCGTGAGAGCCCAGCATCAGAGGCCAATATCCCGCTGCCCCAGATAATGCCCCCATCTCCCCAGGTGCTCAATGTCAAATATTCGTCCTCTTGCCAAATTTAGAAGTTTGAAAACCATGTTAAGATGAGTTTTCATGTAGAGGTTCTTGAGGGTAAATGACGTTTAAAAGCAGGATGAAATCATGACCATGCAATTGCTCAAAAACACTGGGTATTATCTTCTAGAAGGAAAATGCATTAACAAGGTACCTGATCTTCCAGACCAATGGCTTTCAAGGCTTGTCGTCCTCTATAAGAAAGTGCCAAGTTAATGCTTCTTCCACGTGCAAATTTAGCCACTCGGATATCTGAGACATTGGAAGGAGGCTCCATGTTACACACCTGCTTATATGCCAGGACTGGATGAGCACATGTACACCTGAACAATGTGCCATCACATCCAAATTAAAAGACCTGGTTGACTGCTAAGGAAAACACTGAAAGCAGTAAATTTGTATGAAATTAAATTTAGACAGCTGAAGTTTTTAAAAAAGCCTAACATCCTCTTTTTTCAAAAATTTCTTTTGAAAATCTGAAGAGGAAGAGGTCAAAGAATTAGAACCACATCCCACAATGTTCAGCATTGTCTTACCTTCCCGAGCTTCATATACATCAACTTGGAAATTTCTCTTTGCAAGGAAGCATGCATTTAATGCTCCAACCTAGAAAACAAGCAATTTTTTTTCATATTTTTATCTGGTCCTGGATATTTATAGTGAATTTTTACTGTCAAAATGCAACATTGCATGTGCTGTACTTTTGCTGGCCTCAGTTATCACATGGATCTGTTCAATCACTACTGGGAAGTATCATTTGCAAAAATTATGGAATTAACTCAAGTTTAAGTGCTATAATTTTAGAGGTAGTTTTTTTCTTTCTTTCTTTTGTATAGGGAGATATAGCTTTCATACAGAAAGATAACACATGTGTACAGTTTACAGAATACTTAGAAAGTGAACACTCATATAACCACACACTCTGATCAAAAAGTAGAACATTGCCACCGCATAGCTCCCGTTATAATCCCCAAACTTTCACCCAGAGGTAAACATTATTCTGACTTTCATAATAACCCATCTTTGCTTTCTCATCATTTTTAACACTTAGGTATATACCTTTAGGTGATTTAGTTGAATTTTGCCTGCTTTTGACAAAGTTAGAATCATACTTGCGTATTTTTTTGAATCTTTGTTTAACTCGACAATATGATGAGATTCATCTCTATGGGTGCACATAAACTCTCAATGTCATCCATTTTCATGACTGTATGATTCTTTACTGTATGAAATCTCACCGATTATTTAGCCATTCTACTGTTGAAGAGCATTTGAATTGTTTCTGGTCTGAGAATATTGTTTTCCAGTTTCTTTTGAGATATAACTGACATACATTGTTTAAATCTAAGGACTACAACACAATGATTTTCATAATGTATATATTGCAATGTATGGTCTGCAATATTGTTGCAAATTTGGTGTTGCAAAATGATGGTCTGGGAATATTACTAACAATGTGGCCAAGACCATTTTTGTACACACATTCTGGTCCCTCTGCATGTGACTCTCTGGGTTTTATACCAGGAAGGGACATCCCTGGTCAAAGGTTTATGTATTTTCACGTTTTATGTCAAACTGTTGCAGAACTTTGTACTACTGTGTTTCCCCATCAGCAGTTTCTGAGAGATCATCTCTGCCAGCACCTGATGTTTTGCAACTTTTAAATGCTGTGGAGAGTGGAACCTGGTTCTAATTTGCACGTGACTGGTTATTAAAGAACCTGAGCCTTTCTTCTTGTGTCTGGATCTCCTCTTTTGTAAAGTGCCTGGTTACTTCTCTTACCCATTGTCTTTGGGGTTTCCTGTACCCTTTCCTATTGATCATTTGAGTTATTCACAGATCTTAGGACAGAGCCTTAGTCATTTTTACATGTTGCAAATTTCTTCCATTGTGGGGCTTGCTTTTTAAATTCTGTAGTACCTTTAATGACGAGAACTCTTCATTTTACATATTCACATCAATCCATCTTTTACAATATTGTTAATGCATTTGGTATCTTGTTGAAGAAATATTTTCTTACCCTGACATTATGCAGTTTTTTGCCTATTGTCTCCCAAAACGTTATGGTGGTGTCCTCCTAACAGCTTTATATAGGGCGCAGTGATGTATTTACTGCCTCATAACTAGTTAGTGAAATTTGGTTGGATCATCATCTGTATTCAATTATCACATTTGAATTTTCAGCAGTGTTCAATACTGTTAACTAACCTTTCTTCTTGACACACTAATATTCCCTCATTTTCTCGTTTTCATCACACATCTCTGGCCATTTCCTCTTTTTCTCTTTCACCCTTGCAAAGAAAGACAATCGCACGTTGGAGTTTCTCAAAACTTCACTCTGGGCTGTCTCCCCCATCTATGGTGATGCAAACACACCTCCTTCCCAGACCTCCTTCTGAGCTCATGCATGTGAGTGTTTAATTGGTGAGCTGCCTCAGTGCCTCAGAGCACCCCGAAATCAACAGATCCAAATGGAAGCCTGACAGCCCTGCCTCCACCATGCCAGTTCTCTCCGTACATTCCCTATACCAATAAGTGATGTCCCATTCCCACCACCTGCTCCGACTAGAAACCTGGGCTTCATCCTTGGCCTTCTCTCCACTAAGCCATTCTAAATTCTGCCAGTTCTGCCTCAGAATGTTCCTCAGCCTGCCCACCTCTTCTCATGTTCCCCATTCTGCTTCTATTATCATTATCATCATGCTTGACTGATGTCAAGTTTTCTGTTTACTCCACCCACATCCATCTGACCTCTTGCCAACCTATTCTCCATTTGGTGGAATGGTGAAATAGGTCATTTGAACTAAGTTTTCTGCTAAGAGAAAATGGAATCACAGAGAGATGAACCTGGCATTTGGAGCCATGCCTAGGGATATCTACTGGCTGCAGGAAAGGCTGAGAACTTCAGCAGCATTTTCTTTGAGAAGAGGTAAGAGTGGGATTGCACCCACCCCCAGCCCCAGAATAAGAGGCCAAAGTCCTGCTAACCCCCACAGCTCAGAGTGTGACCTTATTTGGAAACAGGGTCTTTATAGAGGTAATTAAATAAAATGAAGTCATCAGGTGGGCCCAAATCCAATGTGACTGGAGTCTTCATAAAAGGGGAATTTGGACACAGAGACAGTCATGCACAGGGGGAGGACAGTGTGAAGACATCGGGAGGCAGTGGCACACCCGAGCCAAGGAGAGAGGCCTGGGACAGACCCCTCCTGCCCAGTCCTCGGAAGGGGCCAACCAGCCAACACCCTGATTTTGGACTCTAGCCTCCAGAGTGCGAGACAACAAATATCTGTCCTTTAAACTCTTCGTTTGTGGTGCTTTATAAGGCAGCCCCAGGAAACAAATACAAAGAGCTCATCACAGTTGAAAGTTTATACCCTTATGGCAACTTTGTAATCAATATCTACCTACCCTTCCCTAGGCTGCAAACTGTTTTTGCTTGCCATTTGATCCCTAACCTCTACCACTGTATTTGCAACATAAGTTCCTGATCAATATTTGGTGAATGGATAAATGAATGGCAGTGATTACATTTTCAAATTAAATTTGTGTCCAAACCAAGCCAAAATTTATTGAGCATCTATTATATAATTATAACTTTAGAGATCTAAGGTTTCCCAGTCTGTCTTTGGTTCAGTAACACCTACTTTAGTTAAGAAGAAACAAATATAAACCAATAAATGCTTAGTAAACCACTTTCGACTATGAAGGCTCACATGAAAATTTTGTCTATCGCCTACATTATTTGAGTTTCTAAAAAGGGTTGGTTAAAAATATACAAATTAAATTTAATCACAAAACATTTATATGTTTTTGTATGTATATGTAAAATAATTACATGTCTGAGTCTTATCTTTTTATTCCGTTTACCCAATGTTTTCTGTGCTACAGATGGAAAGATCTTTCTTTAATAAAATAATTCTGGGCCCAGAGGTGGAAATCAATGTGGGGAAAAAAAAGGAATAATGCCTAGAGAACACTCAAGAAAGGGATTAATTTCGCCTCAAGGGGTGTGGCGGATTATGTTTTTCAAAGATGGCCATAACAGTATTTCCCATCCTACACGCTCTTCCTCAATGTGGCCTTCATACTCCTTTATCAAGAAATGGATTTTATTTCTCTACTTCCTTGAATCTAGGAGAACCTGTGACAGACTTGATCAATAAAATGCAGTAGAAGTGACACTCGAACTATTCCCACACATAGTCCTTATAGGCCTAGAAGCTTGTGCTTTCTGCCTTTCAGAAGCCCGTGGCCATGTAAGAAGAGTAACTCTCTGGAGGCTGCCATGTGTGAGAGGCCCAAGCACATAGACAAGCCACATGCAGTAGCTCCAGGCAAGAGCCTCAGCCGAGTTCTTCAATCACCAACAGCCAAAACCAACTGTCAGGTATGGCAGTGCGCTGTCTTGGACATCCTGCCAGTCAAGCCTTCAAATGGCTGTAGCCCCAGCCACATGACAGTCCACCCAGAATTCTGAGGCAAAGTGACAGATTAATATTTCAGGCCACTAAGTTTTGGGGTGCTATATTACACAGTAGTGGATAACCAGAACAAAGGGATTGGTTAAAAGCTTTTGGAGAAGATTACTTTTGAGTAGAGCTTTGAAGGATGAAAATATTTTGACATTTAGATAAGAGGCAAGTTGATAAAGACAGTGAATCCTTTTGGAAATATAAAAACAACTTTCAGGAGACATACAAAAATTATTATTTTGAAAAATATTTATAATTCCTAAGTTTTACAAGATTTCTGGTTAGACATTGGTCGAATCAGGACCTGAGTATCAGCTTTCAAATAAGCCCACCCATAGTTTCAGAGAGACCTAGGTGTCATCTACCCTAGGCTACAAGCATTCTCCAGAGGACATGCCAGCAAGCCACAAGCCCACCTTTCCCCTGAGCCGTCCCCTCAAAGAGCGCGCCAAAAACCGTGGCCATGAAAAGCCTCTTGACCTGCTAGAGACCCTCTTTTTCCTTTGTTCTGCTGGCCAGGACAGAGGGGGCCCTTTCAGGTTCAGCAATAAACCTGCTTGGACTGTTTAGTTCGCATCCCCTTTTTTCTTTAATCTATCCCCTCTATCCCTTTCAGGCTTTAAAAGTAACCCAAAGATAATACACAATGGCTGAGTTCACAGTCCTGTCTGGGTCTTCATTTTTTTCAAATATTATTTGTATATTTATTCAACACATACTTACTGATTTTTTTCTATGTGCCAGCTATGTGCTAGGAATATGACAGAGAGCAAGATATGCCCAGGCCTGTCAAGGGGATTACAGTCAGTTATAACACAGGTGCTAGTAGTATGACAGGGAAGTTCAGCTAAGAGCAAACCTAAGAGAGGAAGGATCGTTAACCCAAATGTTGGGGTGTGGAGTTAGGGTGTGACTTCTCAGAAAAAAAAATAAAGAAATTTAAGCTAAGATTAAAAGACTGAATAGAAGTCAGCCATAAGGGTGGGGTGGATCAGGAGGAAGAGGATTCTACTAGAAGTATGTGATAAAGGGTAAAAATAACTCCTAGAAAGAATGAAACAGAAAAATCTGATTAAAGAAATAATAATAATAATGCACAATGCTCACAAAGTGGTTGTTATTTACCGTTCA